CCATTGACAATTTGGTGCTAAAAAAGTTTGCTTCCAAGTTTCCTGACCTTGAGATGAAGGTCAACACTATAAAGCCATTCTTATATATAATTCAATGCATATATCTTGATTCAATATATGTGGATATAGTGCATTATACTGGTAGTTTCTTTTTAGATTCGTAAAGTACCCAATCTCCTGAGCATGAAAATTTATAATCTGGTAATGGAAACTTTGACGTTTTTGATATAAAGTTATTTCGAATCGATCAAATAGTTATCATTATATAATTACTGAACACGCACTTTAGTTCTATATTTTTAGGAAATGGCGCTGATGTAATGAATTAAGATGGTAGTTTATTTTACTAGATTTGTGTAGTACTCAATCTCTTGAGTATAAAAACGTTTAGTTTATTAATAGAAATTTTGACGTTTCTGATAAAAATTATTAGTAACTTGAATCGACCGACTAGTTATCATTACGTAGGGGTGCACTAAAACAGGTTGAAATATTCAGACTGCAACGTTTTTTATTTAAGTATTGATACAGAAAAACAATGGATAGCGGCATTATATGAATGAGTGAGTGAGTGAGTGAGTGAGTGAGTGAGTGAGTGAGTGAGTGAGTGAGTGATATTGTATTGTTGTGCTAAACATTCACTCTAGTTTGTTTGGAATGTAGCACTGATATAGTAAATTATGCTGGTAGCTTTTTTTTACTAGATTCGTGTATTACCATGGATATATTATATATATATATATAGTATATCCATGTGTATTACTCACTCTCTTGAAAATATATAATTTGGTAATGGAAATCTCGTCGTTTTTGATATATAACCTAGTAATCTGAATTGACCGATCAGTTATCAATGTATTACTAACATATACTCAGAATATCTACATCTAATTAATTCAGTCCTTCAGTCCTTCAGTCCTTCGGTCCTTCAGTCCTTCATTCATACATTCATTCATTCGTTCGTTGGTTCGTTGGTTCTTTCGTTCGTTCGTTCGTCCGTCCGTCCGTTTCTTCCTTCCTTCATTTTAACGTCCATCTTCTTTTACGCTAATAAAAAATTAAGTCTACAGAATGATCAGAGTTAAGCTGGGGTGGAGCTTCATAAAAGTCGTTGGTCTCATGGTGGTCAGTGCATCTCAGATGATGATCGGTGGAAGGCAGTTTGTAATGAAGAAATTTTGAGGTGACTACTTTAAGTCATAGGTAAGTTAGGGACTGAGATGTTAGTCAATCGTAGGTAGGCTAGGGGCCAGGGGCCAGGGCTTAACGTTAATTAAAAAGTTTCAAACAAAATAAAAAAATGAAACTTAACAAAACCAATTAAAAACCTTAAACCGCGTAGAATACCCGAAACATGTAAAATTCTTAATACTTATCTTAAGAAATATAATCCTTAATACTCATGAAATACAATTTGTTGGTGAAAAAAAAGTCAATTACACTCTTCCAAAGTTCAGAGGATTCAACAAAGCGCACAAACATCGTAAATGAATACGTGCTGAACGACGCATCACACACGAAGCATGTTATAGGCGGGGATCATTTTATCATATTCGAACCCGGTTACTGCGAAACAGCACCAGGTGATTTAGCCATTAGACCAGCACGCCGGTGAAATGGGTTAATCACGGTAGATAAACTAAACAGGTTAGCCGGGGCTCTGAAAGTAATTTAATTGTAGGTAGGTGACTAACTATTATTTTGCTACTTTTTACTATTTTTTATATGTTTGTTTCTGCTTTACACCACCGAGCCAACAAAACAAATTTTTTCACTCGACAACAGTGTGGCACCCTGAGTTGGCCGGAGAGATGGCTCAGTGGTTCAAATGCGCGCTGAGTCAAACATCTCAATGGCTATCATATACTCAGCGTATAAGATGCGGTGCTTGCGCGTGCACATAAGTACATGTGTATGTTGTGTAAAAAGGATAAACAGCTTTTGTGGCGAAGATGGCTGCTTCAAATCAATGGATGAAGATATGAAGAACATAAAAAGATTATAGATAATATATATGTAACATTGTAAGTGGTTCTATGCGCGTTATGTCAGAGCTGCAATAATAAAGACTAATAAAAAAAAAGTTGTGAACATCGAACTAATTTGGAGAACTGGTTTATTTCACAACACAACTTCGCAATGGAGGTAGTTTTCACATGTTTCGTTTTTTTTCGAATCTTAAATATTTTCATTTTATTCATCAAAGTTTTTTTTTTGCTAGGTCAAGGGCGTTCTTCAAATGTTTGCTAACAATGCTACTAATTCAAATTTTAAAATATTCAAGAAGATTATCTATGATTTGGAATCAAGTTTGTTAGAAACTGGTATGTATGCATGTGTCCTATGCTATCCTATGTCCTATGTGTCTTATCTCTTATGTCATGTTCATGTTATCTGGTTACCATGTATGACCATGTAGTGCACGTATGTATGTGTGTGCCTATGGAACGCAGTATGGATGTGTCTGTATCTGTTATTTATTTATTATTATATTCATTTTATTTTATTTTATATGATACTTATCCAAAGTCAGCAAATGCTCCCTAACATGGCCTAACCTCCTAACACTGACTTAACTCACTTAACTAATCAATTCACAATAGTAATAATTATGAATTGATATATAATATAGTACTATATATCATTATAAAATATAAACTTAAAATTACTTATTATTTCATAATAACATTTAATTTACCATACTTTGTAGTTTTTATTTCTTCAATATAGCTTAAAACTGAACGTTTTTTAATAAACATTTGCTAGTTTTTTCTAAATTAATATATATATATATATAATATATTGAGTTGTGTTCTGAACTGTAATATATTTGTATACTGTATATTAAATTATAATATTGTTTTGTGATATATTGTATAAGTGTATATATATAATATATATTATATATAACATTTTTTGTATTTTATTTATAGTTGTTAATCAATGTGTGCAATGGTCAGTATTACTATTAAATTTCTATATAATTATATGCTGCAGTTGATGTATGACGTATGTCTATCTGTGACATGAATTTTTTTTTTGACTTGGTTGTTCATTTTATTTCATTTCATTTCAGTTTTTCAATCCATTAATTTTTTGTTTTTTTTTTCATTTAAAATCCTTAAATAACTTCAAATGTTTAAAATTGTTTTACTGCACAAGACCTTTCAGAAGGGACTGTGAAAGGTATATTTAAGGTCCTCTCGGCTTCGATGGCCTACCATCATTATCGTCAGGGTCATTGTACCTTAATAGAGAAGTTGATCAGATCACTTTCATCGAAATGGCTTGAGGCAAGTAAATCTGCATTCATTCTTTCCACCAAAGAATTGACAGAGTACTTAAAGAGAGCAACTCTCATTTGGTTAAATTAGTTTTTATTTCTTATCATTGTTTTAAACTTTTAGTTAACTAATGCTTTATGCAAAGATGGATAAACCATAAAAAATATTTCCAATTTCTAATATTTTTCAAGTTTATAATAACTGGCTTACTATCGCAATATATAGATGAAAGCTGCTAAAACACAAATATCTCAATAATAATCATAGGTGATATTGGAACATTATGAATGAGCACTGTAAAGTTTCATTCAATGTTATAAAAAATAAGCCCCACATCTCACAGATCATTACTTCATCACGCAAATTCATGTTTCTCATATCTCCAGTTGTTCAACATCTTCTGAGGCGTACAAAGTACTGAGGTGGTCCTTTGTACTTTTGGAGAGTGCAATCAAAGATGGCGAGGTTTTCAACGGGGAGGTCGTTAGTGAAATTGTTAGAGACACTTTTGGCTTTCATTTTTTTGAGATCATTTTCTTTCATATTCCAAACAATCATTTGCCACTGAATGTTTTTATGTAGACTTAAATTATCAGTAGGTTAAATATGTTAAATTAAGTTAATTTAATCAATTAATTTTAATTTAATTTTAAGTTAAATTAAATTGAATTGAATTGAATTAAGTTAGTGTTTACAAATCGAGGAAGTATATTTATTTGAATGAATGCAGTTGGAGCTGCAGATGGTGTTGTACTACGGAACGGTTGCCTGTGGAGGTGAGTCCATAAGAGCAACATGTGACAAATACATCAGGAAGGTGTTTGCTAAGGTGACCTTCATATTTGCTTCCATCATTTTATTCCACTTACTTTGTTTATATCATTATATTGGTTTGCATTAGTTGCATTTGTTATCTAGGGATGTTGTCAAATGTTTCTGGTGGGTTTATTATGTTCAGTTGATTAATTGATTGGTTGGCTGGTTGGTTAGTTAACTGATTGATTGACTGACTGATTGATTGATTGATTAGTTGGTTGGTTGGTTGAGTTATTGATTGAGCAATTGATTGAGTGATTGATTGAGTGTGTAGCTAATTGATTGATCGGTTGACTGAAATACTGACTGATTAAATAATTGATTGACTGGATAGTTGATTGACTGGATGTTTTGTTGACTGGACTGCCCGACTGACCGATTGATTAATTGACTGAATGATTAACTAAACGGTTGATTGAATGATTTACTGATTGAGTGATTTCTTAAACAATCAACTGACTGAAGAAATGATTGAATAATTGATTGATTGAATTATCATTTTCATTCATCAGCATCCAGAGTTACTTCCTATTTATGCCAAAGCTCTTCTCAGTGGAAAGGTGTCATTGCAATCATTCGCCTTCGCTGGATTCATGATGAAGTACCTGAACTCCATGAAGGAGCACAAACAAGCACTCATCATCAAGGTAGGTATATAGATTATGTTTTCTCCATCTACTTGCCTATCTTTAATGGACTCCTTCCAAATATCATAACATGCATTTTCAAGGAACTATTGAATTAAATTATTATTAAATGCTGTTTCTACAGTTTAATGTTGGTTATGTTTCTTCTGTTAATAAAAGATGAGCATCGTATCTTTAACATGTTTCTTCTGTTAATAAAAGATGAGCATCGTATCTTTAACATTGAAGTGATGGCAACGCATTTTTTAATCGAATGCAGGACCATTACAAGGAGCTGTATGTTGAAATTGTGTTAAAAAGCAAGGAGAGATTGAATGCAGACGCCTTGAAGACATTATCCACTTTCTTGTCTCACCTTGACCATGAAGACTTCAAATGTTCCATCCTGCCCGTCGCTGAGAAGTCCTTATTGAGGAATCCTGAGATTACCCTTGTTTGTTAGTTTACCTGGTTATCTCTGCTGCTGATGTTGTTTAGTGTTGTTTGATTGGTGATGATGAAACGAGCTAGCTGTAGTCACATGACTTGATTGCATTTACTTTTCCATTCCTTACGCAGGGGATTGAGATCTCATTCAAAGTGTGTTGTTATTACCAATAATATATTTAAATAAATGGTGTAAGTTGGTTTCAATAGATAATAATTTTCACGCTATGATGATTGATTGGCAGGTCTGAAGGAACTTCTGGTCAGTTTGACCATTGACATGAGTTCTTATGCAGTTGACCTTGGCAGGCATCTGGCAGGTGAGGGGGCTATGAGGGCTTTCAATGGATTCTTCTTTTGAAATATGAGATTTTCAATGATGTCATATTATAACATGAAATAATTTTAATAATACAATGTAATGTAATTCAATTGTTGAAATATGTATGTGGGATGGGTGATAAATAGACTAAAATAAAAAATATATAATATAATTTATTTTAAGAACGTTTGTTGAAACTTATTAGCCAAACTTTCTTCTCAGACAACACCATTAACTCGGGTTTCACGTTGAATTATCATGTGTGTACTAACCAACAGTAATTGAAAATAAATTTTTCCACTTTTTAGTTTTATATGGTAATGAGCAGTGACATCCGAGCCAAATGTGTTTATGTGTTCATTTGAGTTATGTATAAAAACATTTAAAATTTGACAACCATGCAGTTCAGTGCATATCGAAAGATGAAATGAACCAAACAGTAGCAGCAGAAGCATGCAGAATCTTGGCACAGCAGTGTACTGATTTGTCGTGCTTGAAGTTACTAACACAACATTTCTTCAAAGTACTCTCTGGTTCGTCTCACTAGCTGTCTGTTTTTTAGTTTATTAGTTTTTTGAAACAAACGCAACATGATTAAAACTATGTAGATGCTGATTCGCATTGTTTCACCTTTCTTTTGTTCCAATAAAACTTCTGAAATTTTCTTAATTATTTTCTTTTTTTTTCTTTTCACGTAATCTCCGCTTCATTGGCTCATCTTTTCTAAATATTTTTTACTGTGATCATATTACGATCTAACATCTTTTTTTTTGTAAACTTTTAGAGTTAATTTTTGCTTAATATCTTCAATTGTTCACACAAAATTCGTTTTTTTTTGATAAATTGTTTGCTAGTTCATTTGTTTTTTGTAAACAATTGATAACAAGTTCACAAGAGGCTTGAAATCATAACATCAAAGAAAAGTAGTCTGGAAATGATTATGAATTGAAAGTAGAGATTGATTTTTATTATGAAGGCCGATGTAAATAACTTACGACTTTATAATCTTTTATGATGATAACATTTCAGTACATTCATAATTTTTTTAATTAGTCTATAATAAGTTGAATTTTGATTAAATGAAATGAAATATTCCCTTAGGTTCTGAAGGAAAGTTGACAGTTGTTTCACAGAAGATCAATCTGCTGACAGCCATTGGCAAGATGAGTAGTAATGTTGAGAGAGGTGTTGCAGCGTCAGTTGAAGAGTTGACCACTTTCGTCGTCGACCAGTTTGTTGCTTTTGTACTGAATGAAGGTTTGCATTTTCATGCACTCACTCACTTATTTGTTTACCTCATTCAACGTTTATATCATTTCACTACAGATGGCACATTCTGCTGCTGCTCATATTTTTTATGATTTAAAATTGTTTTCAATTTCATTGGCTCTTACTGTTTAATAAAACAGGTCAAGAAACAACGGCAACTCATGCAATCCAAATGATGACTTTGTGGTCCGTAAAACTTCGTTCCTCCATCCCTCCATCATTCACTCAGTGGATAAATAAACAATTGAGCAACAAATCAGGCAGTTCAAACATGAGGACGCACATCTTTGTTTGCTTCAATGCAACTGTCAATGGTAACTAAAGCTAATGATTTCATCTTTTTCGCTGTTGCATCCATTATTTTGTTAGATTTCTTGAGTCTTTCTTGTTTTTTCATTGTTGATGTTTATAATATTTGTTGATTGTTTATTTATTTATTTTAAACGTTAAAGCACAATAAATTCAACTAATGTCAGTGGATACAGTTTTGAAATGTAAAGATCTACTGCCAACATTCATTCAATGCTTGGAGAAGAGTATTTCACAGCCATTTCAGGTTTCACTTGTCACTGAAGCCCTGCTTGCCACTAATGCAACTTTGAAGATTCTTGAAGGAGATTTTGAATTGGGTGAATATTTTTTACAACTGATTTTGCATATGATGTTTGATTTAGATGGGAATAATGATGTATACTGATGATATAATTATGTTAAAGCATTTTACGCTTACAATGATGGTTATCTTACAAATAAATGTGAAGCCACAAAGCAAGAAAGTTTCTGGTCACTAGTTTTGGATTTGGACAAGCAGCACTTTGTTAATGAAAAATTTTTGAATCAAGCACCTAAAGAAGGTTTCTAGTGTGATACCATGATTACAAATTTCAGTTAACTTTATTTTTAACGTTTTTCAACGGACGTTAAATTTTGCTACCAGAATATATGCACGCAATTATTTTTATAACTGTTAGTGTGATGGAAAATCTATTTTATAATTTATTTTTTTATATAAACGTGTTTTCAGCTTTGATTGCTCTGTGTTCTGTTGTAGCCTACCTGTTCAACATCTGGTCGGATAGACTCAATGACAAACATATCAAGTTCGTTCTTTCACAATTTATTAATTTTGGTATAGTATATCTTTTCGTCTCAACTTCTTGAAAGTACATGAGCATTGTTTATGCAGAATGTACAGTGCAGGTTTGTTGAATGCGGCTGTCAAGGGGGATTATGAAGTGAAGAAGCTGGCAGTCAATAAGTTGAAAAAAATTGTTTCATCTGCTGATTGCCGGTTATATGCACTTGCATTTGTCCACGAGTTGACAGGACTTCTTGAAAATATCGAAAAGGTTCTCAATCTTTTATTATGTCATTAAATTTACGTTTAATAATAGTTTAAACAAATTTATTCTGATGAGAAAGAGTTTATTTATTGGTTAATTTGATCCTAGCGTCTACTTAATAATTTTGCATTTATACTTTGCAGCAAATAGCGGCAACAAATTTGTTAGCATCCAAAGTTGATTGCAGTACAACAACATCGAATTTAAAAGTTCTCTTTGATGTACTGAACGTCATATGCAGTTGTAGTTGCGATGGTGACGAAGATAAGATGAAGATGGCTCTGGAGACACTCGTTGTCTCACATCACCCGGAAATAGGTTAGTTGGAGTCAGTCTTCAGTGTGTACCATGTGCCTCAATATAATTTTTCTCTTCAATGTAATCCACAACAAACTCAGCTACATAATCAGTGCACTTGAAATTATCACTATATTCTTGTATGATATTTGATAAAATAATTCAATGAACCGGTGATGTTATTGTTTTAATTAATTTTATTAAAAGAGAATGTCTAATTAGTTAATTAATTAGATGCGTTATAAATTTTTTATATATTATTCATTGTGGATTGTTTTTAAAAGTGATATATTTAAACAATTATTATTCTACTATAACTTATGACAATGATATTTTTTATCATGAATCTTTTTTATTTTTCATGTATATTTAAGCTTGAAGATATGAATTAATTTTTCTAGTAAATAAATAACTGCCAACCAAACAGTTCGTCGGATGCCAGATCCTTGGATGAAGCTTCTGAAGCAACTTCAAATTGATCCAAATATCTTCTATAAAAAACTTTCGCAACAAATTGAAGAGAAGTTCAACTCTGCGGCTGAGCTCACACCTGTTAGCTTTCACCTTTCAATACAAAATACTTACTCTTCCAATTTTTTCATTCCCTCTTATTTTTTAGTTTTTCGTTTTATTAAATTTTTAAGGATATCATTTCTAATATTACATTCTATCAAACTTTTTCGTAAATATTTCAAATGGTCATCTTATTGTTTCAATCACCTCACCAGTTTTAAATGATCTTTTTATTGTTTCAATTACTTGACCAGTCTAAAATGGTCATTTTATTGTTTCAATAACTTCACCAGTCTCAGCAGAATGCCCTGACCACCCTGGCAATGGTGACTCCCACACACACGTTTGACTTTTTGAGGAGATCCGTTATGAAGGTCTTCTCGAATCCTGAATATTTAAAAGTGACGTTGGACGAATATGCCTTATTGAACTGGCCTGAGGGGCAACTATACGATAAATCCGTCATCGAGGCGTTTGTATTTTATGCTGTCTTTAAGGATTGCAGTTAATTTGATTGATCACCTTGCTTTGTTTTTTGTTTCGACAATTAGTTATGAATTGCGTGTGTGTGTGTGTGCGCACGCGCATGTGTGTGTGCGTGCGTGCGTGTGTTTGTGTGTGCATGCGTGTAGATTTTTTAGTTAATCAACTCTGCCAATTGAAACATTTTATTGTGTGATGAATAAATGAATTAATAATAAACAAATGAAAAAATATATGAAAATTTTGTGAAAACATTACTCATAATGTATAACACCTGCTACATATTTTTATCACCTTCATCTTCATCATCTTCATCACAGAGGTGTTGCACCCATAATAGAAAAGGCGAACATCAAAAGGGAGAACAAGTTATATTCCTACAAAGAACAACTAGCTGATATTGAACTTAAAAAGGTGTGGTTACTTGAATGTTTTTGTCACGTTTGTGTGTGTGCGTGTGTGTCTGTGTGCGTGCGTGTGTGTGCTTGTGTGTGTGTGTGTGTGTATTTGTATGTCTGTTGATGGTAAAGAGCAACCGCGATAACATGAATTAGCGCGTTTATATATGAACCAAAGCATACACCAGTTTTATATTTTTTAAAATATTAAGGTTTAACACTCAAGCCACAACATGTTTGACATAGCCAGAAGTGTTTTACAAAACATTGTAAAAAAATTTGTAGAAAAATTTAAGAAAAACTGGACAACGTTTTATGTTTCAAATCGTTCAATCACCTAATTAAACTACTAAACACTGACAAATTGCACCTGGTTGAAAAAATTTGAAATTGAACTACAGTTGAATTTATCAGAAACTCTTCTGAAATAAAACTTAAACAATTATAAAACTTACGCGAGAGAGAGAGAGAGAGAGAACAAAAGGTTGAATAAAAAAATTATCAGGTGGCACAAAGCCATACAAACATTCATAATCATCAACATATTCTTTTTTGTCATTTATGAATGTTTTCAATCAAATCAATATTACCCCAAATTACGTTATGACCAGTCAGAAAAAAATTTTATATCATGAAATCAATTTAAATGATACAAACGAATAAACAACACTGATATACTATTTTTTTTATTTTTCATAATATAATAATTTTGTTAATTTACAATTCATCAATTCACTCACCCAACCATTCACCAAATCATTTAATCATTCGTCAATTTATTAACCCAATCATTCATCAGTTCACTCATTGATGCATGCATGCACTAATAATAGGCAGGAGGCATCCTCATTTTTCAGCCCTTTTCAGAGAATCAGCCCCAGCTAGTGACGACGTGGAGTTTGTCGGTACATTCAGGAAACTCACCCAGATAACTTTTCAAGATGGCCGCATCAACCGAGGTGCTATCTGATGACTGGTTCAAAACTGACCTGATTGCCTCTGTCTCGTTGTCCACGTGAATCATGAAACTTGAACTATGTCCAAGCTTGGAGAGCTCATAGAGGACCCACGATCTGTTGTTTACAAATGACCATCTATGACCTCTCAGGTCATCGAACGATTTAATGTAATCCTTTTTTGAATTTAAAATAACGACTTCCGAGTAGGAACTCGAGTCGTCTCCACGGTGCAAAAAATCGAAGGTGGGAGCCAGGCAGAGAACGTCCCAGAGAACTGCTTCTTGTTGTTGCAGGATCTTCATGTAGGAAGATAAACTCATGAAGATAATATCAGCAGTGTCCTCAGCAAAGGAGCTGTCGTCATGTGCATGTGAAATGTTCAACTCACATTCGACACCCAAACAATCTTCAAAAAATTTCTTGAACACGTGATACAGGCTTTCTGGATAATTCGGACACATGTACGTCGAAATCCGGAGCTTTTTCGTCACTACTTCATTTGCGTTCTTATCTGTTGAATCCGACATTTTTCTTACCTATTACTTTACCTAGTTTCAGAATATTCCGTGGGCGATCGTATTTCTGTTCTATCGTTGAACCACACTGAGTCATTCATTTATATAACGAGGCAATTGGATGTTGTCAAATTTGGATGCTAGAGGTTTTGTTATTTTTTATTATACAATGCAGAAGATCGTAAAAGTAAAAATTAAAGGACACAATAACGCACGTGGTTTAATTTTCTTAAAGTTTTTTTGAAAAATGCGAAATATTTTTCAGTCCACACAAGAAATAAGAAATACATAATTGCTTTCCAATAACTGACAGTGCATTCTAATGAAAAAAATTGATAAGATTTGTTGATGAAATTACAAGATTTTTTTAAAATTGGAAATTTGAAGAATCATGTATTCAAAAGAAGTTTTCAATAAAACCTACAAAATTTGAACGTACAAAAATTCGCACATCATGAGCTGAACATTGTTTCCCATAAAAATTACAAACTATCAATCGAAACGTTTAAATGACTATGAGGTCAGCAGAAACTAATTAATAATTTTTCATGTGTGTTTGCGTGTGTGTGTTTGTGTGTGTATTTTTATGTTTGTGTATGTGTTTGTGTGTTGGGATGTGGATAAGACGTATATTTCATCATTTATAAATTACAGGCCGGAGACAAGATTATTTTTATTTCAACATCCAACAATCTATGCTGTTGAATGTCAATTTTTCATTTAATGTTTATAAATTTTTTCATAGTTTATTTTATTTTTATTGGCTTGCCTGGTTATAATTGATCAATAAATTCATTTATAAAATTCCTGATTGGTCACTTAATTTATTAATATTTGTTTGGCTACGGACAGAAATTATAAATTGTATTGTTGTATTCGTTTGGCTACCTATGATGAAACCTAAATACCCCTCGACGCCATCCACATCTGATACTGAGGCGAGTGACAGATGTGGATGGCGTCGAGGGGTATTTCGGTTTCATCATAGGTAGCCAAACGGCAACCCCCGATCTCGGGGAAAATGCCGTCTAAACGTGTGTTGTTGTTGTATTGTTGTATTCGTTGGTAAATTTTGAGGATATAAAAATATTTAAACCATCATTAACAGCCAGTGGATATTTGTATAAAATTTCAACCAACATAACTTTTACATATCCTTGGTAGGAATTAGCGTTGAAAAAAAATGCAAAAGAAGAAGTTAAATTAACGAAGAAACAGCAAGAGCTGATGCAAGCCCAGCTGACCAAGGAAGCAAACATAAGAAATCTCTTAAGACAGGTTGCTCCATGTTCTCTTTCTTTCTCTTTTCTAATTAATTTACATTTTATTTATTTATTTATTTTTTTATTCAATCATTTATTCATTCATTCATTCATCCATTCATTTATTTATTTATTTATTTTATTTTCTACTGATGATGATTATTGTGCCAACTGGTTTCGACCATATCTGCTGACAGCTGAATGCCGACCTGCTGCACACGACCTCCTTGATTCACTGCTGCACTCAAGCGAACTACCAGCACGCTCGCCTATCCTTCCATTGGTTACTGCCCTGCATCGTCCATCTCTTCAAGTCACCTCTGGCTGCACCACACGTCACAAAAATCTTCATCGGCTTGCGTTCCGTTGCATTTGATAATCACTACAGTCATCTCAGTTGGTGCAATTGATTGTATTGATTATCCACATTTATTATTCTTCTAAATGATGTTTTTGAGATTGCCAAGTTTGTTTGCTTTTTTAATTATTAAATTCTTAAAATGATGTTTTTGAGATTGCCAAGTTTGTTTGCTTTTTTAATTATTTTAATAATGTGTTAAGTGTACACATAGATGAATAGGTATTACAGTTTACATTGCCAAAACTATGTCAGTTGGGAATAACCTTATTATGATTGATGATGATTTAGTATCAGTTTTTATTTGTATCATTTTCAGATGAAACATTAGCTCACAACACATTGAGATTACTCAAACCAAACTGTTATCTGGAACACAATTGGTCAGAGGAACCCCTTGTTAGCCAATCAGAGAGAGTTGTAGATGAAATGTTCATGGTGACCAGGTGCTCGCTAATTAGCAGCAAGCAAAGTTTCGAGCAGACGTTCAGTTGTGCAACTTTTCATTATTGTTATTTTTCACTGGAGGCTATTTTGAAATTGAGTTTGCTGGACGAAGTTAGGCTGGTTAAGTGTCTGACTATCATTAAATGTCATGCCAGAAAAGTTGGTAACGCGGACGAAGATCAACACGAAGACGAGGTTGGAGGTTTCGTTTTTTAATTTCAAAATTAAATAAAAGAATTCATTCATCATTATCGGCTAATATAAATTACATTAATTATTTCGATTTATAGAATGTTTGTACATTACGAACATATACACAAACAAACACATATATTTTTATATATGTAGCGTAGTGAATTTTGTTTGCAATGAAAGTTGATATGTTTAAAAAAATTGACTGAACAACAGCACCATCCATTCCACATTCCACGACTGCATATCATCAACCTCTGCCTCTACGTCATCGGCACGTCGGCGGTCACATTGGCTAGCCACGCCCACCAAACGCTGATTGACACGTGCCATTCGTGCAGTGGAAGTCGAGGTCTTGTTAGTGCTCCAAGCTCTGAAGAAGTTCAGTCTCTGACGGATGCACTCCTCAAACCATCATCCTCCGTCAGGAAGGCAGCACTGCAGGTATCTATCCACTCAGGATAAGTTTTATTTGCACAATTGCTCTTACATACTGATGAGGAGAATGTCTGAGTCGAATGTTTCAGTTTTTGTGGTACGATTTTTAATTACAATTGAGTAAGGAAGCTTTGCATTGGTCGAAGCTGTTTAATGAAAAATAAAAAAGTAATTCATGATTTCATAGTTTTTTTTTCAGTATTCAAAAAGCAGTAACATTTTGCTTTGGGGTTTAACAGATTCTTTTCATTAATATAAAGCAAATGTTGTAGTGTTTGTTGCAATTAATAAAAATAATTAAGTATGATGACGAGGAAATTAAAAAACGTTTGAATATTTTAACAGTTATTTTCAATTAGAAGTTCAAAATATTTTTAGCTTTAATCTTTTTCAAAGTTTTTATAATCTCGGCCAATTCTTTCATAATTAGAAATAAAATAATGAATGCCAGGCACTCTTGGTTATGAAAGATGTTCTGCCACTATCTTCATTCACCTCTCCAGCTGCTGCAAGGCAACTCTTAGTTAGATTGTGGATAGCGAAGTTTGATGTCGATGAGGAAAACAGAGTTGAAGCAGAAGAGTTGGTATTTTTTTAGTTTTCACTCATCATTTAACATCTTTTTGTTTGTTTGATTGATTGTGCGTCTGTTTGTTCGTTCGTTCGTTTATTTGTTTGCATGTACATATGTTAGTTCGTATTTTTTTACCTTTTGTTTAGTTTTCTCCTCACGTTTATATCTTATAAACGAGGTTCGTTTCTAACTTTTAGTATTCTCCATTCAACGTAATTCTTCCATTCCATAAAAGATGGTTGTGTTTCAGCATATATATTTATATTTGTTTGTTTATTAATTTATTTTTTAAATAAATAATTCATCGTTAAATTTGTACCTGGGTCAGATTATTTGAAGGCTTGGCAGTACCAAACGACAGGGACTTTTTTGAAGAGTTGGCGTCGTACGTTGTGCACGAGGAGACGTGCGTCCAAGTTGCTGCATCGTCTGCCATCGCACTGGCCCTCCAACAGCATCAACAGTTTCTCGATTATATTCTGAAGCTGATCATCAATTATTATGACGATAAGTTGTTTGTTAGTGCCATTTTTCACACTTTCAAGTGATGCTTTTGTTTTTACAATTTCCAAGCTGAATTTTAGTCCATATTTAAGTTATTTTTTTTACATATAGACACATTATCTTGATTAAATTTTTGTATGATTTGATGTGTTTGTTATATTTCTATGCAACCTTTTGACGTGTTTGTTATATTTCTATGCAACCCATCAGATTGCTCCGCCAATCAAGGACCAGTTTGGTCGCATTGTTAAAGAATCTCCACCTGATGATTACCATTCCAGACACGGCATTGCCATGATGCTTGGGAAGATTGCTTCACTCCTCAACCAAAACACTGTTGAAATTTTATTCGATTTTTTTGTGAAAAAAAGTTTGTCTGATTGCAATGAAGAAGTGAGACAGGAAATGCTGAAATCTGCATTATTGATCATCAATGAACATGGAAAAGTTGGTTGAGCTTTCATTAAAAATACTTTTAATTTTGATTTCTTTTTTGTACAAAATTAAGTTTTTTCAAATTTTCTGTTGAAAATATGCTTGGATTTATTTAGTTTATTAACTTATTTGTTAAATTGTATACTACAATTGCAAACCAACCACCTAGGACAACATCGGATACCTGCTGGGCGTCTTTGAAGACTTTCTGGAATCGGCTCCAGTGACAGCATCGTACGATTCAGTTCGCCAATCAGTGGTCATCATGATGGGCACCCTGGCCAAACATCTCGATGCAGATCATCCAAAGTTGAAGCCCATCGTCGGTAGGTTGATCGCCACCTTGGCTACTCCTTCTGAACAGGTAGTTACGAATGCTTCTTTTGTTGTAACTTAAATGCGTAATAATCAAACAGTCCCAGTGGTATTGTTGATTGTGCATGTATGCATTCAAAAGCATTGTTTTGCATATACAGCGTCCCATTTAAATACGACGCACCTTAATCTAATACAACGTACCATCCAAATACAACCTACCCTTGGAAAATCACATACAAATACGAGATACCATTCAAATACAGCATACCATTCAAATACAACCACATTAAAAAAAACAACCACATTAAATAAACGTTCTTTTAACGTAAATTCTCATGCAGGTTCAAACGGCAGCAGCCAACTGCCTGCCAGCGTTGGTTCCATCAATGAAGGCAGATGCACCTGATCTCGTGAGAGACCTCATGTGCCGTTTGTTGGAGTCGGAAGTTTACGGGGAAAGAAGAGGGGCGGCCTACGGACTGGCCGGCATGGTGAAGGGGTTAGGTATCCTCTCGCTTAAACAACTGGGCATCATCAGCACAATTACTGAGGCGCTGCAGGACAAGAAGTCTTTGAGACGAAGGGAAGGTTAATATTGATTGATTGATTGGTCGATTGGTTGATCTATTGGCTATAATTGGCTTATTGGTTGGTCGATTGATTGGTCGCATTAAATCAGTTTATCGTGATTTGGACATGTTAATTTTCAACTTTCACATTTGTTTTTAGTTTGTTGACATTTTCACAAATTACTTATTACTTACTCCCGTGTCGTTCTTCTTGTTACTTTGCACTGTTTCGGTTATTAATCTTAATAATCGCAGCAATTAGTGTAGTGCTGCATTAAATTTGAAGTAATTGTTTTACAATGATTAATATTAATGTTAATTAACTAATCATTGCAGCAAGCAGTGTAGTGCTGCATTAAATTTGAAGTAATTGTTTTACAATGATTAATATTAATGTTTCTTTGTTAACTATTTTAATTTTGTGGACTGGCGGCCTGTACCAGAAGTTATGATAGATTTTTGCTTGACTGGATTTAAGGAATAAACGAGCTTGATTTGATTTATTAATTTTTGTAATAATATTATTTTGTTCATGTAATTCTGTGGCTATTAATGTATTATCATGGAAATACTTAACACGTGTTAAAATTGAAAGGAGCATTGTTTGCTTTTGAGATGTTGTGTCGAATGTTGGAGCGTCTCTTCGAGCCATACGTTGTGCACCTACTGCCACACCTGCTCCTCTGCTTTGGAGACAACAGCCAGCACATCAGGGATGTCGGTACCGTTCAATTCAAATTAATCAAAGTCGCTTCTAAATTTTTAAATTCAGCTGCTAATTTATACATTTTTTAAAGCAACTATTATAATTTGTAACAGTTTCTCAAGAGCTTATTATTTAAAAAATGTTTTTATTAATGTCAACAATGAAACAAAGCAAACACAAATACAACAACAGGCAGCAGATGAGACGGCAAAAGTTGTGATGAGCAAATTGAGTGCCCACGGTGTTAAGTTGGTGCTGCCCTCACTGCTGACTGCTCTGGAAGAGGATTCTTGGCGGACCAAATGCGGTTTGTTTTGATGGTTGATAATTGTTTATTAAATTGTGGAAATAAAAAGTTATTAATTGTTGGAATTAAATTTAAAAAATTATTTTTTTAAATTTTTTTCAGGATCAGTTGAGCTGTTGGGAGCCATGGCATTTTGTGCCCCAAAACAATTATCTGCATGTCTACCAAATATCGTTCCAAAGTTGACAGAGGTTCTTTCTGATTCTCACCAAAAGGTTCAAAAGGCTGGTTCACAAGCCCTCAAACAAATTGGTTCTGTTATAAAAAATCCTGAGATTCAAGGTTTATAACATTTTTGAAATCGAATTTGGGTTAGGAATTAGCTCAGACCGTGTCATGTCTTGTCTTGTGTCATTGTTATTGCTGGTTCAAATACTGTCGGTTTGAAATTCAAATGTGGTGAAACTTGTGTGTATGGGGCGTGATGCATGCTTGCGGAGCATGGGGTTGCACGCACGCGCACGACAGGGCATCAGGCAGGTTCGTCGTATGGTCGTGTGGGGTGGATGTGCATTACCACAAAATCATGTTCATTGCCAAATAAGTAAGGAATGATTTGTAGTCAACTCTGCGCCATTTAGAATCGGAAAATAAAATTCAATCGTTTGTTCAGTGTTTTTATTTTTAGATTTTAATTATCCAATTCTTTTACTGGCATTGGTTTTTTATGAAGAAAATGACGTTCGCTATAAAATTGATAGAGCAGATAGTTTCATAAAAATTTAACGCCAACAGTTGTGGTTCCTCTGCTTCTGGAAGCCTTGCAAGATCCCACAAAGAAGACCACAGTAGCCCTGCGGAAGTTGTTGGACACAAAATTTATACACTTCATAGACCCTCCGTCGCTGGCCCTCATCATGCCTGTGGTACAGAGGGCGCTGTCCGATCGGTCAACTGAAACTAGGAAGATGGCGGCTCAGATCATCGGCAACATGTACTCACTTACTGAACCAAAGGTGACCGCGCCACTTTTTGCTTCTCATTTCTACTTGTAATTTTAGCTGCTGTATTTTTTTTAGTAAACATTTGTTTAATGTCGATTTTATTGAAGAAGTTTTTGTTGTTCGTTTCTTGATGACTTGAAATAAAGTTATAAACTTTTGTTATTTTTAATATGGGCTTATTGTTAAATTGCGTCTGCATATTATTTTGTTAGAATTGTCAATAAAAGTATTTCGATGTGCGTAATGACTAATTTACATTTCCATGGATGACAACGGCTACTCGCCTAACAATGAAACTTGCATTTGATGTGTTAACGCTTGTTTTTAAGAATTTGCTTTATCAACATGATGTTTACACGACATTTTCATGAATATCACATGAAAATAATGAATGATACAGGGTTTGTCTCCTTACCTTCCAACCATGATTCCCGGATTAAAACAATCCCTCCTTAATCCAATGCCTGAGGTCCGATCAGCATCTGCTCGAGCGTTTGGTACTATGGTGAAGGGCATCGATGATAAAAGCGTGGACGATCTGATTTCTTGGCTCATGTTGACGATGACCTCGGAGTCAAGCACTGTTGACAGATCTGGAGCTGCTCAAGGTGAGGCTGTTTATAGTGCTGCATCATATTTCTTCTGTCCAGTGTTGTTTTGCGTTAGGTGTTTTATGTCGCTTTTAAAATTCATCTGTTTTGGGTGATTTTTTGATTTGTAGTCAATATTAATAATGTATTCTTATCATTTGAACAATGAATTGTTATGGCCTATGCTGACAGCTGATTCTGTTTTTCTTCACATGAAGTTGAACAGCATTTAAAAAGTTTTATTCAACATCATCTGACCAGGCTTGTGTGAAGTACTTGGAGGGATTGGCGAGCACAGACTGCACAGTCTCATGCCAGATATCATACGCATCGCCAGTCGAACAGATATCACTCCAAATGTGAGGGATGGATATATCATGCTCTATATCTATCTGCCTGGTGCTTTCAACAAAGTATTCGTTTCTTATCTTGGAGATGTCATACCAACTATACTCCAGGTTAAAAAAATGTTATCATATTCTTATCATTTGAACGATGTTTTTGCTATTTTTTAATTATTCATTGTTAAAAATGCCTATAAAGTACTAATCGAATCGTTTTCAAAAGCGCTCTCACCAATTGAACTGCAAAGGAATGAAAAGTTGTAACTAAATTGAGTCTGTTCAAATCAACAATAACTCAAAAAAATTAATAACTTTTAAAATATCCTTTAAAATTATTGAGTCTTTGATCAGAATTCCTCAAAGATAATGGCAGACTGCTTCAAACAATGCAGTGATATCACATAATCTAAACTGCAATTGCTGATATTTTCACAGATTTCTACCTCCCATTTCAATTTTCATTGCTACCATTCTCCCAATTTGGCTTTTCCAATAAGTTTTTTTGTTTCACCTCGTTTTCCAATATTATGATCACGACTCAATCATACCTGATTCAGTTCATCGATTATTAATTTTGATTTATAAATATATAATAGTAATAATAATAATAATAATAATAATAATAATAATAGCAGTAGCTTATAATGAGCTCAAACTAAGAAGTCAGCATGCCCATGTTTAAAAACATAAACCGTTTAACAGAATATATATAACCAAACAATGGTGTCCATGTTATAAACAAAAATAAACCATGCAACAGTATATGAAAATCAAAATAATCAAAAATAAAGTCTTTGTAAGCCATATACTTATCAAGTTTAAATTTAAATTCGACGACAGTATCAGATTCAATAATTTCTTTTGGCAAGTTGTTCCATAGTGAAAAGATCCTGTTGGTAAAGAAGAATTTTCTGTTATTGTTATATTTCTGCACTTGTATTTTGAAATGATGTCTTCTGGTTCGGGATTCAACACTAAAATCAACTTCTGGAAAGAATCTTCTGTCTACACGACTAGTGGCGATGTTGTACATTGTTATCAAGTCTCTCCTTGTTCTTCTATACCTCAAAGTAGGTAGTTCCAACAACTTCGAGCGACCGATGTAGCGAAGTCACGCACCATCTTAGTAGCACGCTTCTGCACTCGCTCCAACTCCTCAATTTCCTTCTTCCATGGTGACCGAACAGTGGCTGCTTACTCGAGTTGCGACCTTATTAGAGATTTGCAAACTAGTAAAAATGAATTTTTATCTAATTATTTAAAAGTCCTGTTTATTATACCTAATCAGCAAAAACAATTATTTATTATATTGTGTATTTGGTTAGAAAAACTTAGGGAACTGTGAAATAAAACCACTTGATCAAACAATCATTTATACCGCATCTACTGAACTTTTCAATTAACAAGCTATGCGGGACCCTATCTAACGCTTTTGAGAAATCTGGGTAAATAACATCTACACCCAATCTATTGTCAATAGCCTAACTCCAGTCATCAAGCAGTTTGAGCAGTTGAAGAGTGGTAGACATATCTTTTGCAAATCCATACTGCTTACTATTATTATTGAAAAGGCATATCAAGTGATCTTTAACGATGGATTTTACCAATTTTCAACACATTTACAACACAAGAAAACCGGTTTATAATTTTCAACTCTATGTTTATCCCCCTTCTTGAATGGGAGCAATAATACTGTTTCCAATCATCCGGAATATTACAGCAATTTACCGGGACCAATACTTTTACTGTTATTACCATCGTCATGATAACTGGATTGCCATAATCACTATAAACATTGATCTTTCTTGCAGGCGCTGGCAGATGAGACTGAGTACGTGAGGGAGACAGCGCTGAAGGCAGGTCAACGGATTGTCAACCAATATGCTGACACTGCCATTGAACTGCTGTTGCCCGAGGTCGAGAATGGCCTCTTCGATGAGAATTGGAGAATCAGGTTGGTGTGATTGCTGAAGGTTGTTGTTGCTGAATGTTGTTGTTGATGAATGTTGTTGTTGCTGAATGTTGTTGTTACTGAATGTTGTTGTTGCTGAATGTTGTTGATTCTTTAGTTGGATGTTGTTTTTTGGTGTTGCTTCTAAACTTAGTTCGTAGATTTTGTTTAAAAATGTTCCGGTATAAATCAAAAATTGCTTGTTGGAATTCATTTTTCTTTTGAAGCCCTTTGTGTCAAAAAGACTATATATAGATTTGAATGATGATTGAATGTTTTGTGGAGCATGGAGCACTGGTATAAGTTGAAAAACATTTCAACCTGCATAATATTTCATTGGAATTATTTATTAATTTTTTTAAAGTTATTTTTTCAGATTTACATTTTGTATCACACAATCCATTTTCCGGAAATACAATAGATGTTTTTTTGTTAAATTCTTGCATTTTAATTATTCTTGTTTTTGCACCGACCAGGTACAGCTCCGTCCAACTTATGGGAGATCTTCTTTTCAGGATATCAGGTAACAACGTTTCATTCATTCCAATCCATTTGTTGTTATTTCATAGTGCTAAAATATTTGTTATCTTTGTTCTATATTGATGATAATCGCAATAATTTGTAATATAACATTTGTAACAAATGTTTGTAAGAATGTAATAAAATGTTAATTACTTAATATTATTGTAAGATGTTTATTGGAAGTCCAAAAATGTGAATATTGAACGAATGAATGCAGGTGTTTCTGGCAAGATGTCAACAGTGGGAGTGGATGAGGATGACAACTTTGGATCTGAAACATCTCAAAAGGCCATACTGGCCGCTCTTGGACCAGAACGGCACAATCGCGTGTTTGCAGGCTTGTACATTTGTAGGCAGGATAGTTCACTTAGTGTTAGGCAGGCTGCCCTACACGTCTGGAAGGTTAAGTTCAATTTATTTGTTTATCATTTTTCATTAAGATACACAATTTAGGTTACATACAAGCATTATACACTTTAACTATAATTCATCTAATTTAATAGAAAAAGTTATGGTGATGTTGTTAGGTTATAGTGATCCACACACCTCGCATGCTGAAAGACATCATGTCCACCTTGTTCCATCTCCTTCTTGGCTGTCTGGCCAGTCAAAGTCCTGATAAAAGACAGGTTGGCTGCTTTTTCATTTCAGTAATTACATTATAGTAGGTTCATATTTCATTATTAATTATTATACATTATACCAGAGTAATTATTACTTTAAAGGTTACTCTTTCTTTTGCGCTTGCTTCAGAGGTTTCGATGACAAACACACACACACAGCGTATATGAATACGCGTGAAAACCACGCTTCATACACATTGCATATGATAGGCGGGGTTCTCTTTGTATTCGAACCCAGACCAGGCGCTTATAACCATTGAGCCATCATGCCATTGTGTTTATATTTCTTCCTATTAGAGTAATTGTTTTATAGTATTTTATATTTTATTGAATCAAATCAAATTAAATTATACATATATTTCAGTATATCAGATTAATTACGCTGTACTTCATTATGTAAGAGTTATACGTTAAAAATGTAGTCATATTTAATCATATCGGAGTAGGTACGTTGTAATTGTGTTTATTATATAATTATTATTTTCACATTTCATTATATCAGAGTAATTTTATAATTTTTGTCTTAACATCGTATAGCATGTCAAAGTTTTTGCACGATCATTATGTTTAAGTTGTTGAGGTAATTAAAGTTGATTGATTGGTTTAATCAGTTAAGTAACCGTTCTGTCATCATACCCCAAAATAGAGCTATACTTTTGTCAGATGATAACTACAGTTTCCATTAATATTTGTATTTATGCTGTAAGGACCACTAACACTGATAATTTCAAAATTTAGGCTGCGTTCTTTTTTGTTTTTATAATGGTAAATTCTGTTTTAAAAAATTTCATGAGAATTGTTTTTTTGGCGGCACAAGTTGCAAAAAATGTATTTTAATGAACGGCTTAGTTACAAAGAATATGTAAAAGATGTTGGGTTAAAAACGACAGCACTTTGTGACCCAGCATTTCAATTTGTTTTTACTTCGATCCAGTTAAAACGATTTTGATTAAACCTAAGCATAAAATGGATGGTCAAAGCAAGTTATTAAAGGGCAACTTATTATATTAGGTTATTTCATTTTAACCAGACAAGTTTTGATTGAGTCGAAACATAAATTGGTACAGAGACAAATTGACGACGTAGTGAAAATGAATTTTAGGTGGCTGCTCGGACGCTTGGAGATATCGTCAAAAAACTTGGGGAGAAAGTTCTTCCAGAAATTATTCCGATTCTTGAAAAGGGCTTGGACTCGGAGGATTGTGACAGGAGACAAGGTGTTTGTATCGGCCTGTCTGAAATCATCAATTCAACCAGCAAGGATCATGTTAGTACCATTCAGCCGGTATTTTGTTGTTTAATAAATAATTTATTGAAGTTATTCTTTGAAATTATATAAATTTTAATTTTTAATTAGCAAATTGATCGTATTTTAAAATAATTTAGTTAGAAATAATAATAGTTACATCATTTCACAATGTAACACAATCATATCCTTATCAGGTTATGGCGTTTGCTGACAGTTTAATACCAACGGTGCAGAAAGCTCTATGTGATCCTCTACCTTCCGTTCGAATTGCAGCTGCCAAAACATTTGATACCCTGCACACGAATCTTGGGCCCAGAACGCTTGATGACATTCTACCAAATCTTCTAAAAAAATTGGTAACTATTTTTTGATTTGATCTGCTTTCTCCCTCTGAGACAGTTAAAATTTCAATGTTATTTTATTATTAATAACTCCATTGCAAAAAATTAATTTGTTCAGAGGAATAAAAAAACATTTATTTAATCAATATAAAAATATGTTAACCACGCAAATCAGGAGCATGAAGAGATATCAGAATACGCACTGGATGGACTGAAACAAGTCATGGCAGTCAAGAGTAGAGTTGTACTGCCTTACCTGGTTCCTCAAGTTAGCGGCAATTTATGTTTTGCACACATGATAACTTTTACTTAATCAAATTGCTAGTCGTATCTGTGTTTCGTTACTTTATTTTGTCGATGATCAAAAGTTATATCTGATTTATTAGTAACTAGAAAGCTTTACTAATGTTAACAACGCAAAAACAAATATTAAGCTGACGGTACCTCCCGTTAACACTCGTGCTTTGTCCTTCCTTTGTTCCGTGGCTGGAGACGCTCTAACTAAACACCTGCCCAAGATCCTGCCCGCCATGATGTCATCACTTGCGAAGAAAATGCAAACACCCGACGAAGTTCAGGTTCATTGAGCTGCTGTCGTCCTTTTGTTCTTCAATGTTTTAATCATTTTTTGTAGAGAAAAATCTGTTAAGTTGTTTTATATATGATTAATCCACAATTTTAATAATGACATTTCAGGAGTCTCAGTATTGCAAATCAGTAGTATTATCGTTACAAGAGGAATCGGCAGTCAGATTTGGTATGGAGGTGTTGATTGGAGGAGCCACGAACGAACGAGCGCCTGTGGGCTCGCGTGTGGCTTCGCTAAACACACTCGTTGTTTTCTGTGAGCAGTCCAAAGTTGATTATTCAGAATTCATTCCTCAATTGTTGCGTGCGCTCATTCCTCTTGCAGCTGAGCAGGATAGTGAAATAATAAATTCGTCCTGGGATTGTCTCAATGCTATTGTCAAGGTTAAATGAAAAATTTGATCATCGTAGCTTAGATTTAATTCGTTTTTACAAGATGTTCGTTTAACCTTTATTTTTGAACAATAAAGAGGTTGGATGCGTCCAACATGATTCAGTACATCAGCCATATTCGACAAGCTGTTCGATTTGCTGTTAATGACATAAAGGATGATCAAGAATTACCTGGATTTTCTATTCCTAAAAAGGTGTTCAACTTTTCGTACAAATTCTAATATTTTCAATTTTTATATTTAAATGAAATTTTAAATGTTTATGTTTATTGCTTCAAGTCATCCTAATCAGATCTTTAAAGCAGCCATTCACAACATAATCACGATGATTGCTTACCAGTGTACCTCCTTTAGAGATACACGGAAAAACTGATCCATGATCATTTGAATGAATTAAAAAAATTAATAAAATAAAACGTTTTAAAATGTGATCATAGATATTTTAGAATTAATTGCACTTGAAATCTGTTGAAATATTACAAATTTGTATCAATAATTTTGTTTGTTCCTTAGGGCGCGGCGCCACTCATGACTATTCTCAGAGAGGGAGTTTTAAATGGGGGTCCTGAGGTCAAAGAATCGGCTTCCATTGGTGAGAAGAATATTTATAAGCTTTGATGTTTATAAAATATTTTTTAGAACTATTCAAACTGTTTTTTGATTTTATACATTATTTGGATTTTTTAAAAACAGTTTAACTATCTTTTCACGTTTATTCTAATTTAAACTGATGAAAGTCGTCGGCTGCATCACTTCACCGTGACATTCACGTTAGATTTCATTACACATTCATTACGCGTTCACGTTGTACATGTGTGCTCAATGGAAAACTCGCAGGATTAACTGAAATCATAAAGAGGACCAACACCGAAGCCTTGCGTCCATCCGTCGTCAACGTCACAGGAGCTCTCATAAGAATTCTCGGAGACAGATTTAGCTTCAATGTGAAAGTCGCCATGCTCGACACCATTAACCTCCTGCTTGCGAAGGTTGGTAGTGTACTTTGCTGGACGGAATATTTATGTATTTATGTTTAATCAAGTTATTTTTATATTGTTCCGTGATTTTATACAATTTCATTTTTCATTGTTTATTAATTTGCACGAAAATCAAAATTATTTATGTATTTAAATTGTTGTGTAACATGCAGTGTGAGACCAACTTGAGACCTTTCTTGCCGCAACTGCAAACAACGTTTGTGAAATCTTTAATTGATGTCAACAGAACCGTTCGCCTTAAATCAGCATTGGCTCTTGGCAAGGTAATTTCAATTCACAATCGCATTGATGCACTCTTTACTGAACTCATCACTTGCTGCAAAACTGCTGAAGATACTTCGATCAGGTCAGTCCTCATTTCCGCACCAAATTGCTTTTAAGCTGAATAAATTGTTTTAAGCTTTTTACATGCTAAACTTTGAATTTAGTGATGACTCTATATACATATTATTTATTTAGTAAAACGTTATTCACCACCATAAATTTGTTTAATCTTAACGTCCAAACAGAGATACCGTAATCTACGCCATGAGACTCTGCTTGATCAATCCCAGTTGTAAACTTTCAGAAAAAACCCAAAAAGAAATTTTAATCTTTTTGGAATCCAACAGCAATAGTTCAGAAGATTCTACAAGGCTCCTAGCTTCCGCATGCCAGGGGGCATTGTGTTGTGTCGTGGAGACTGAACTGATGAACACCATAATACTGTCTTGCATCGGTTAGTTTTTAAATACATGGCGCTGTCATAACATATCACTGTCAACAGTTTTCCAAAATTTTTTAAGTAAATGTCAATTAATAAAGAAACAAAATATGGAAGCCGTTTTTATAAATGCACATTACGAAACCGTTTGAATTTTTTATCGTGCTTACAGATTCTGAACCATCTCAAGATTGGACAGTGCGATATAATAAGGTTACTACTTTGAGTGTTGCATTGAAAGAAGCTGGTGGCAAAATCTTGACAAAACTTAACAATGACGTCAATGTTAAAGTAACGAAATCCCTTGTTTCCTATTTCAATACGGACAGGGTTTGTAAAATCTTTCATTTTAACTTCAACATTTTTGGTAATTTTGCGTAATTTTTTCATTGATTTATTACATCCAGAAAGTTTTAACTTTATTGAAACAATCTTCAACTTATCAAACAGATACCCATCTGCCTGGCAGCTTTAAGGGCAACAGCATTTTATTTGAGACAACAACTTATGCTAGGTACATCTCTGGACGAAAGTCTCAATAACCTACTAGTCAAAGTCAGCATTGCTATTTAATGAAAGATCATTGTTTAAAAATAAATTATTCTCGCTGATAACATTTTTAACCCGGTAATTGAATGTTTGGCAAATCTTTAAATTGTAGTCAATGAAACTGGAATCAAACGACTTAAAGCAGCTGTGTGCCCAAATAATGTCATATCTGTGTCACGTCACACCAGAAAGAGCATTTGATGTTTCGTCACTCAAAATATTTGTGCCGATGTTGTTGAGTGGATGTAGGGAGAAGAATGCTGCTGTGAAGTCATTCAGCGAGCACGCATTGCTAGCCGTTTTAAAATACAAACAAGATGAATCCATATACCAAGTGAATACATATTTTACAAAGTTCATTTTATTTTTTTTTATTTTTTCTTTTAAAATACTAAATAATGTCCATAATTAAAGAATACTGCCTTATTTCCAATTTTGTTATCTTATGAACACAATCATTACCTGAAAAATATTTCAGCGTCAGCGTCTTAGTATCAGATTAGTTACAACTGCGATTATAGTAAGCAGTAACATTACCTCTCACAGCCATCACAACAACAGGAAGCAATTGACGTTTAATGATTAAAAAATGTTTAATTACCGAAAAGCCATTTAAAAATTATTCTTATCTAATTAAATATAATAATCTCTTGTAATGTTTTATTCAGAAATGTCTGGAATTTCTGGAAGAAAATTCTAAAGAAACGTTAACTGAAGTTACTAATAAAATTCTAAAGAAACTCGCGGCTCAACCTGAGGGAATTGAGGAAGACATAGATGTCACTATACTTAAATGAACATCTGTCGCTAAATCAAGCAAAAGTATCAAAGTTTAACGTTGGTGAACGACTTGTTGATTTGAAATGAATTGAAATTGTTAACGTAAATGATTTAGCTTAATGTCTGGGTTGTAAGTGAATTAAGTAAAAATAATAATTAACAAAATATTTGACGCATGTAAATGGGCACATTTAGTGTCAACTATTTAAATTGGTTTTAATTAATCAAATTTTTAAAATAATTCAAAAGTTATTTTTTAAAATATCAAAAAATAAAGGGAATAATAGCTTTTCTGTCTTTTGGATAATATTTAAATGTTTTTTTATACCAAGTATGGTTCATATGGGCAGCAACGATTTGGTTGACAATCACAAAAAGAAAAATGTAATTCAGTATTTCTGATCCAAATGAGTCAACGAGGCAGAAGCTGCAGTAAATAAAAATTTCACAGAGGTAGTGGGGGCACGAAACGTGTTTGAACATCCATCCTTTTGGAACGTGGTGGTTCAAATCTTTAACTTTACCTGCTGTTTTGATTATTTTCAATTGTTGAAGTTTAAAATAATAAATGCTCTCTAATCTATCATCAAGTATCTAAAAAAAAGAGCAATTTAAAACTAATTGCAAATCTTCTCAATGCAATCAATGTGTGTGCAAGATGAACAACTTTTATGCAAACATAAAAGAAGAAAAGGTAGACTGATAGAAACACAAAAACGATGGTGCATTTGGTGAAATTTTGCACGAAATTTTATTTTTCTCTTTATAACCAATTTTCATCAAAATCAGAAAATTCCAACTTCTGTTTTTATATAAGATAACTTCGAAGCTTTGTTTTGAAATAAGTTAGTTGATCACCTTAACATGGACGAAATACAATGTACTCTCTATAATGACCTTTTTTGTATATATGAGGCACTCCACCACACAGCTGTATTGAACGGCGGGCCAGAACTTTGAACAACTTATGGTATAGCTTGTTTATAGTTTTGTTTATAGTAAACAAAATAACATAATTATATCTAGCTCAATATGCTGGGATTTAATGCACAATATTCTTCAAACAAGCGAAAACACACAAAAAATTTTATTTCCTCAAGATAGGTAAATAGAAAGTACTTACTATAACTAAACAAAACTATAACATAATAACAAAAGTTATTTACTTTTGTTGTCGAGTCGAAGCTCTGCTAAGGTTTTGTGGGTTGAACGTTGGGTGAAACTGGCTATGCAGAATAATAAAAAGCCCAGAATGTGTTGGCAGGAGATTTGCATCGCAATTGAGCCTGAATTATTTCTATTCATTCACTTATTGTTTCAAAAGTTATGTAAAATGTTGAACAAAAATTAAGATTCTTATAGGCAACATGACCATGATATGAAAATAAATAACAAGAGTTTTTTGAATATAAAGTGAGCAATTAATAAAGGCAGACGGATGTACAGACCAGGCGTAGCAAGCATTTTAGCTAGCATCAAATGCAAATATAAAGGGCATTAGCATTTTATATGTAGAAATAAACATAAATAAACAAATTTATTTAAAAGTTACTTTTGTTTGACTCTGGAGCTATTGCCTGAGTCAAAATTGACAAAGGAAATGTTGAATAGACAAACACTCCTGTCATGAAGTGGAAGAGGTTTATAGTTGAATGTGAAAAAATGGAAGTGTTGACGCATTCCTCATATCTTCTCCAGCACTGAACCGCCATCATGAAAAGTATAAAAAATGGAGTGAAGGCATCTGTGTGTCCAGATAGAAACTACATATCATACATAACTTGATAGATTTTAAATTAAAGAAACAGACATGAAAAGATCACACATCAAAAATTAGTAAAACCTTTTTATTCAATATAATATGCATAAACACAATAAATGGATAAAATAATTGTTGCATTTGCTAATTAATTTATTAAAACAATTTCGTCAAAGATAACAAATACTTGTCTGAGTAAGTGAACCATTTCCTAAAGAATGTTTTAATAAGGAACTGATAATTGAGGGAAATGCAATACGGCTTGTATAAAAATATAAGCATGATGTGGCAGCAATACTATTGATGATACCACCCAATAAATAGAAATACGTAAAGGACCTGAAATTGTTTTATAAAACTTTCAACAGTGGTTTTATAAAATTATATTGGAATTGAATTATTTTATTTATAATATATATAATATATATAATATTCTAACTGTTTAGGCATTTCCGCAAACTTTACGAATGTCTGCGACTCATTCTTTAGTTTACCGTAATAAAACGTATCTTTGATGAACTGCGGTAGACTAGGCAAAAAAATTATCAGTAAATACGTTGCGAGCAACACAACAGTCGCCGAAAGGTAAATTAACGCCAACAACATCTTAACTTGAATCTTGCGTCAAACGTATATATATTTATGTTTAAAAGTGAAAATGGTTAACAATCATGGACTTACATAAATAACTGAGTCTGGAGTTTAAAAAACGTTGGTAAGTGACAATAATTTACATAGCTTACACTATTGCACTAATATACTTACAATTGCATTGTCTTGATCAATTTTAGTTGAAAATAATTATAATATGCCCTCTGCTGCTGCACTATTAAATAATTATAGTTGCCCTTATTTTTAGTAAAGTTTAATAAAAAAATATGACATCGCAATACCATTGTGAACATGGATATATATATCCATGATTGTGAATCATAATATCGAAATATTACAACGCTTACGACCAAATTTTACTTCGAAGTAATTTCAACTTTTTGTTATCCTACATTAAGTTTGATTTTGCATTGTTTCCTCATATCCAAGGCCGTAGCTGGGAGGCTGCAATTTTTGGAACAATCATTAATTATTTGTTTATTTTAATGCCTATCCGTTAAATTGCATGGTAAAATACTTGCAAAAAATGCATGGAATTTTATTTTAATGCTTATTTGTCAAATTACATGTTAAAATACTTGCAAATGTAATTGCATGAACGTTTATTTTAATTCCTACTTGAATGCAGTGGCGTCACTAGGGGGGTGCGGGGGGTGCGGACCGCACCGGGTGACACCCTCACAGGGGGTGACACCAAAATATCACTGTATATGTTTTTATGTCCCTCCATGAAATTATTCTTATCATTAATTCAGCCTAACCCGCCCAGCGCCCAGAAATGTATTATGAATAAAATTTTTTTCGTTCAAATCATTTTTGTATTCTACATTTATACCATTCAAATTCGACGTCCGAATTATTAAGCGCCGCGGCCGAGCACATTTAACTTGTTCGTGTTTATAAATTTTGCTAAGAATGCTGTATGTCTATGGGGTGTCATGAGAGGGGTGACACCATGAGTTACCGCACCGGGTGACACCAACCCTAGTGACGCCACTGCTTGAATGCCTACTATGTAAAAACTATCTCTTTAAAAGAATAGCGATTCTATTATGTTAACCATGGATATATATATATATATATCCTAACCATGGATATATATATATATCCATGGTTAACACACACACACACACACACACACACACACACATATTAAAAATTATTAAATAATTGATGAAAGTTAAAAAGATGTTATGATTTATTAATTTTTTAAAACTTTTTTCAGTATTTTAAATTTATATATTTAAAAAAAATTAATAAAATACAATTTACTTTTGTTTATATAATTTTGTTGGGTTTTTTTATTTTGTAAATAAAAGCTGATTTGATTGGATTTGTGGTTTTTTCCTTGATTTTAATTATAAAAAAAGTATTCCGACAGCCCTCGAAAAATAATCATGACTAGAGTCTATAACTGAACCGAAATACATTTGTCTAAAAAACTACCCTCTTTTTTGTTTTTAATTTATTTTATTTTTGTTTAGAATCATTTTTTTAACATTTATGATTCCGATTCGAAGCTCTTAGTTTACATTTGATTTGGTTACCCATCCTAACAAATACTAGAACAAGCGTCGATTTTTTGTGTCAAGCTACCTGCGAATGAAGGCCGCTTGATCAAGAGACGAACTTTATTCGTTTATTTCATAGGTTAGATTACAATTGATGAATCAATTCATTTATTTATTTTTAATTTAGCATTATTTCAACCTTGACTAGCTCGCTTCATCACTGTGTTTTTGTTAAAAATGAAAATAAATGTTAATGTGTGGTAGTCGTTCATATATTATATATATAATTATATATGTATATATATAAAATTTATAAACATATATACGTATATCCATTCTGATATATATTAGATATATATATATATATATATATTATGAATACTAGTAATATCGAAGTTTAATTTTAAGCAGTTTAGACAGCATAGAACAACGTAGAATAATTGAAATAGATATGAGAGTTTGCGTGAAGATGGTAGCGAAAACAAATGTAAACTAGAAACCGCCAATATTGCATATTAAGCAAAAAAAAACAAGAACGATGGAAAAATAGTTTTTTGAACTGTTTTCTGATTTATACAACCTAGTGAAAAAAATAACAGCGACAAAAATGTTGATTGAAAGCCTGTACAAATAAATAATAATTTGCTCTACTTAATTTCATAAAATTATAATATTTATTTATTTTTTTAAATTTATATTTATTTTTTCTTATTTTATCATTTTGTGAACTATTTTTAATTTTTATATTTATTTATTTATTTTATTTTATCAATTTAATAAGCATAATTGATTGCAATTGCTAGAATTTCTGTTGAATTTGTATGTACCCAGATGATCAAATATATATAGACACAGACATATATATTTAAACACCGAAAATGGAATAAGAATACCGAAACAAACTTTTTTGTTCTATCATGCATAAAATAAGCAAAAATTTTGGTTTTGAACCCAAGGAACTTGAAAATGAATTACGATCAACCGTTAGAAAAATCGAAAAGTTAAATTGAAGGCTAACTAGCGCCGAACATGCTGTGATTTTCATCAATATATATATATATATATATATATATATATATATATATATATATATATATATATATATATATATCTTGTCGAGCGTCTCCAGGAGCCAATTATAATGGATACCTAACAACTTTATTACTGCTTTTTCTTCCGGTATAGTTTATAATGCATGGTCCGTAGTCGTTGGAAATTTTTTTAAATAGAGTGGATTTTTAGATCTTTTACGTTAATTTGTTGGCTTTTTACAATACTTTTTACCTTATTTATAAATGATCTATGCCACATAACTACATCAGCTAAATTTTTATTATTTACTGATGACACGACTATATACTTTCATACTAAAGAACCTAACAAAGATTTAAATTTTATCAACAATGAAATTCAATCCATCGCCAATTGGTTTACCTTTAATGATTTAATAATAAACTATACAAAGTGCACATATATGATATTTGGACCAAGAATACTAACCAATTGTATCACAGACTTAAATATACAAATCAATGGTAATCCCATACATCGATCGAGCTCAACAAAATTTTTAGGTATCTTCATCAACGATAACTTATCCTGGGACACGCACATTAATTTTATTTCCAAAAAAATAAATAAAACAATAGGTATATTATATAAAATTAAAAATAAAATAACAAAAAGTGTATTATTAGAATTATATTATACCCTTATTTACCCAAACCTAACGTATTGTAATTTGCTGTGGGGAAACAGTCCAAATTTACACTTGCAACATATTTCCGTTAGCCAAAACCGTTTCATTCGTCTCTTTTTCAATCTTCATCCTCGCTGCCATATTTCTAATTATTACAATATTTTACAAATTATGAATGTTAAAAATATCCACTTGTATACCTTAGCTCTTTTTATGTTTAAATATGTACACTGTGAACTCCCGTTGTTTTTTAAACATTTCTTCAACTTAAGAAGCTCGATCCAAACTAAAGTATTAAGGAATGCATCAACTTTTTATCCCAGTTATTCTAGATTGAAAATAATAAATAATAGCTTAAAAATTTCTGGTCCAAAAGTTTGGGATGAAATTATTAACACAGAAATTAAAAATATATGTCAAAAATATTTATTTAAAAACAAAGTCAAAAAATTTTTGATCGAGCAAAATACTTTTTTTTTAACTTGATATCAAAAAGGCAATCATATTTTGTATGTATGTGTGTGTGCGTGGGTGAGTGTGTGTGTCAGGTGTGTGTTGGGTGTGTTTGTGTTTGTATGTATCATAGTAACCCTTTCTTGAACAACATTTATTTACATTTATTATTTACTAGAACAAGAATTTCTTATCATTTGGCCAACTTATCATGTGTATACGGTTTTCATATGTTTCCATAAATGATATTTTTAATACGTAATTGTAGTAAATATACTTCATATTTAAATCATTATGAATTTTTATAGGTATGTATGTATCTGTGTATTCGGGCAGCGTGTTTTAGGAATATGAATTATGTTGGGCTTGGTTGGGTCGTTAACAATCTGTGAGATTCGATCAAGTTCGACGAAATATGTATGTGTGTGTGTGTGTGTGTGTGAGTGTGTGTGTCTAAGGGTGGGTATAGGTGCGTGAGTGCGTGTGTGTGTGTGTGTTTGTGTGTGAGCGGGAGTGCTTGCGTGAGAGTGTGTGTGGGTAAGTGTGCGTGAGTTTGTTTGGGTGAGTGTGCGTGTTTATGTGTGTGTGAGTGTGTCTATGTGTGTGAGTGTGTGCATGTGTATGTGTAGATATGTGTATATATGTATATAAATATTGTATTCTAGGAGCGTTAACCAGGGTACAGCGGGGGTGTATGTGGAGGGGCACATATCTATGTGTAAGATGTCCATTCACTAGGCTGTTCCCTGAGACATGTGGCCACGCCCTATATGTGTATGGTGTGTGGCCATATTTATTTATGTGTCTATTTATTTGAGTGTGTAAGTGAGCGTATGTTTGGTTTCCAGATCATTTCATTTCATCGATTCTGTTTCTTCAGTTCTGTATAACAGTATTGTGATATGAATTGTAGTATGGTGCGTGTTTGTAAGTATGTGTGAGCGTGAGTTTATGTGTATGTATTTCATGACATTTCTGTTACATCTATAGTTAGAAATTTTAGTTAAGGGTGGCCTATCCACAAGTTTATCTTTTTTGGTCATCCTTCAAATCAAATAAATAAATAAAATATATATATATATATATATATATATATATATATATATATCTTGTCGAGCGTCTCCAGGAGCCAATTATAATGGATACCTAACAACTTTATTACTGCTTTTTTTTCCGGTATAGTTTATAATGCATGGTCCGTAGTCGTTGGAAATTTTTTTAAATAGAGTGGATTTTTAGATCTTTTACGTTAATTTGTTGGCTTTTTATAACGTAAGGGTAACTGTGTGTGTTGTTTGTTGCAAATATATAACGCCTCATTTTAAAGATTAACGAGCATAGCCTTCTATCAAGAATCTGATAGCGTACAAAAAATAGTTAAAATAATGTAAAACTTGAAAAATTCCATCAGTAAATAAATTACAGTTTGGTCATTGAAAAATAAGACGTAAAAGATGGTGACTGAAAGTTAAAATTTACGACAACGGTTAGACAATTTAAAATTGCCTAAGGAATCAATGGCAAATGAAAGAAACGATTGATTTGCAGGAGAAACTTTAAACAAACATTTTTTTCATACAAACTAAGTTTTTGAGCTCCAATAAAGCTGCCTTTAATCTACTTTTCGGTGCGACAAGATGCTTCGATCAGAAGATTTTATTCTGTTTTGATTAACCTTGTGCTATATTTAGTTTAATTAACAATGGGTCGAATCAATGTTGCGTTTTTGTTTTTTGAGTGGTTAACATTAGTGACACTCCAATATGTTATGCTAATTATAAACATTAAATGCATGTCGAATGAACAGAAATCCAGTACATGTTTGAATCTATAATAAACGAACAGATTAAAACTTCAAACAAAAATGGACAGTGAACATAGAGAAAAATTGAGCTCCATACATAGGCCATTTTTAGTGAAAAATCTTTGTTTAACAGAAGAATTTTTCGTAATATTGCTCGAGACAAAAACTATGACAAAAGAACTGATAGAAAAAGTTCAGGTTAGTTGTTTAAAAGTTTATCAAAGTTGTATAGTAGGACAAGCTAAGCAAATTTTTTTAAATTATATCACCAAAAATGCTTGTCAAAAATTTTTAATTAATGACGGTTAGTGTGATTTTTCACTTTTTCAAATTTTTCATTTGAACAGCTTGATAAAAGTGATCCCATAAGTTGCTTTTTGGATCATCTTGTGAGAAGAGAAGACTCAGCATATAATTGTTTTTTAGAAGCACTTTTAAAAACTTCGCAAGAAAATATTGTAAAAGTGTTGGAACCAAGGTTCACTTACAATAACAGTAATTGCACTCGTCCAGTAAATGTTAATATATTTTCATTATTCACTTAATATTTTCTGTTTTTTCTCTTCATTGAGTTATTGAGATTTATAAAGATTCCATGGCAGGATTTTGATCTTATTTTGATTTAAAATAAACAAATATGATTTCACCAAACACTCTGCCTCGTGGTACCGTTCATAGTATCGGTGTTTACAGCGTGAAATTGTTTAGATGGGTTTTGTGTTCGTTTCTTTTCAGTATGGTCAGGCTTTGTTTACAAATGATTTTGAAACAGTTTTGAGCTGTATACATTTACGCCATCTCCATTTTTGAATGCAGATTTAAATTGTCATCACCGTTATTTACCATAGTCAGTTATTTTACTACCAATGTATTTTATTTATCATGGATTTCACAGACAAAGAAAGATAAAAATTCAAGTATTTCTGAAAAAAGTAACTTATCTTAAATTAAAATATTTATTAAGTACTATAAATTCTACTATTAAGTACTGTCAATTAAGCATTAATATGAAATTTTCAATTCTATTTTAAAGAAGTTATGGGAAAAACGAATCTAGTTCCACATTGTTCCAAACAATCTGCAGTTTCTAAAGTAACACCAAACCTCAAATGTAGTCCGTTTATATTAAGTTTAATCATCATCAGCTTCACCCATTTTAAATTGCATTAATTTTTCGTTACTTTACATTTTTTTAACAGTTGAACAAAGAGATGTCAAGCCGCACGCTAGCAATGAGGTTTGTTTGTTACTTTTAATTTAGATGTAATTATATTTGGCTGTTATTAAAATGATCAAATGAGTTTTAGTTGTTGCATTAAAACATTTTTTTAAATTCACGACATTTTAATAAAATTTTCATTAATATTTTGATAATTTTTTGTCACATTTTAAAAATTAATTGAACATTCAAAGTAGGCTTTTTAACAAATGTCCTGTCCTTGTTTTTTTTCTGTTATATTTTTAGTTATTCAAGTTTACTTTTGTTGATTACTTTATTTAAAAATATGTTTTTAAATACACTGAAATTATGTGATTTAATTTTTGATAAATTCAAAATTTCCTTTATTAAGAGAAACTCGAATTTAGTAGAGGAAAAGCAAAATTTAGAAAACGTAAGTGATTCTTATAACTTTTTTGTTAAACATTCATCGAAATTCAACATTAATTTGATAGATCATGTATAATCCATATCAAATATCATTTCATATAAATGATATTTGATATGGATATTTGGTGCGAATTTTCTTTGAGTTTTTCGAGTCTGTTTAAATAGTAGTAGAGCTATGTTTGCTATGCGATGACCAAGTTCGAATGTTATAATAACCTCACTTGCGTCTCAAATAACGGGTTTTGTTTTTCGTCAGACGTTCTTTGGTCCCTGCGAATTGGCTCAGTCGATAGGAGTGCCATGTCTTGCGCTGCTATTATACGATGATACGGTTCAAATACTATCTGTCCGAAACTCAAAGTCCATCATGTGCGTATGATGCGGTGATTGCGCGTGCATGCGTAATGTGTATGTGCGTCATGTGGTGTACATAGTACAGCCTTTGTGGCACGAAAGTTTAATAACAAATGTAGAATAACGTGTAAGCGCCTCTGCGCATTACAAAGAATAAAAAAAAATTTATGAGCTACTATGAAGATCGTTATCGAGCAGTTAAAGGATGGTTACCAACATTTTGTTTGAAATCAAATTACATTACAACGAAAATTGTTTTGGATTTTGAAATTTAAATATTTCAGAATTATCGGCAAATTAAGTTGGGTGATTCGGGTAGTGCCTTCTTTCTTAAAACAAATTCAGTTTATCTTAATGGTTTGGAAAATGATGATTTTGAACAACTTGCTATTAACTTATGGAAAAAGTCAGATGATTATTCAGCTCTTTCGCAGATGATCAGGAGTAAAAACGTATCTATTATTGTTTCCTTGTTATGTTATTAATGAATTTATAGTTTTATTAATTTTTTTCCTAAAGGATGTAACTGAATTCTTGAATAAAAACGTTGAAACAGATCAAATGGTTATCTTTTTTTGCACACGTGGTTGCAATGGTGAAATGTTAATCGGTCATTCATTTGAAAATAATGAAAATAATGTTCTATCTGTCCTAGATATTATCACCAAATTAGATGCAAAATATGCCAAGAAACTAATATTCCTGCTTTTTTGCTTGTATCAAAGAGGTCATTATTGAAAATTTTTGCAGAACAAATAAATTTTACAATGTTCAACTTTTTGATATGAGGAAGTCAGTTCCAGTAAATGCATTTTTATTAATGTTTTTAACATTGTTCAACAGATGGACCTCAGTGTTCTGAGGAAGAATCTGAGAAATTAGATTTTAAAGGTAGATGATCATTTAATTTTTCTGATCTCATTATTTACAGTCGAATATATTTTAAATTTTCATATTATTTTTTACAAACTGAAATATGGGATTTACCAAAGTCCAGCCTTTCTAGAATGCTTCCACAATATACTTATACCACGTAGCATTCAAAATCTGGTTTTTATCGAATTTTGTAGAACTTTTCACTTTTTTATTCGCTCACTGAATTTAATTTTTTTTGCCAAATTTCAATAATTTCTATTCAGTTCAATATTTTGATTAATTTTTGGTCAAACGGCTTTTTTATTGCATGACTGATGTTTTATCGAGCTTTTTATGGTCACATTTTTTAATATTTCAAGATCATCTTCAATGTCTGATTACGTAACTCATGATGTTTTTTTAATAATTTATCTAAGCCCTATTATCATGAACACATGTACTTCTGTACTTTTTAGCCATTTTTTTTAGTTTACTTGTTACTTAACAGTCAATGATTTGCACACAATTTCTACCGCACGCCGTGTAAAACTTTATTGTCATCTTTTTATAAATACTTTTGCATACGTTAAAGATGAAACTTTTCAATTGTTCTCCAAATCTGTCAATTTTCTCAGTCCCACCAATTTCCCAAACTTTTCTCTAACTCAACAGTACATACCCAGTATTTTCGGATCTTTATTCAGCCGTTTTTGCTACACTCAACTGCAATTTTACATTATTTATTGTCTGTTTGTATTTGTTGAACAGAACAGTTGCATTAAACTTTACAAATTTGTTCATTGTTCTTGCTCTGTTTAATGCGTAACTAAATAATAATTACTTTTTTTTAGAATCTATCCATGTTTATGAAAAGGCTATGAATAGTCTAAAAATCCACTTGAATGAAGTCACAAGCAATAAATTTGTTGTCATTTACTCAGAAAAGGAATTGTTAGTTAATGCTATTTTTATTTTGAGTTATTTGTTTCAATCGCAATTAATTTTTGTTTTGTTAGGTTTCTCTTGAATTTGTATTTTTTACTTCATAGTGATGCTTAAAATTTCATCGAAAAAATTAATAATTTTCGTTAGTCTAGTTAAGATTTGTTAAATTTAAGAATTTAGTCGAATCAAAACATTTCAAACCTTTAATAGTGGTTCGTAGGATGTTGGTAATGAATAAATGGTGATGCTGTATGATGAAATGACTTGTTTTTGTATCAAGGTTCAAGTGCCACACTGTTAAAATTAAATTTTTGAAGATAAATTGGATTAATTTGATTACCGACTATTATAAAACTTTCTTTGGAATAGATTTTTATGTTTTAGATAGATTTTGTAAAAGATTTTAGTAAAACATATCTAGATGAAGATTAGGTTGTTTGAAAAATGGGATATAGAAATTGTTATCAGGACTTTAATTTAATTGTTGACATTAAATATTTTTTCATTATGAACATAAACCGACTTAGTTTAAAAAATTTCCTTCAATTTCCTTCTGTTTCCTCTATACCTATGGCATCTTTTTAATGCTGTTATATAAAACTGTACTATATAAAATTATATAAAATTATATACTATATAAAATTATACAAAATGTTCTTTATTTTGTTGAAATTCAGATGTTTTTTTTAAATTAATAGTCACAACAGAGAAGATTCAAAGCGAAACTGGCTGCTCTCTTTGATGCTCAAATGCAGCACTGAAAAAATTTCTGAAGGACAAGATCCAATTAAAACTTTCATTCAAAAGGTTTTTTCCCTTCATTTTCTTTAAGTCGTCTGAATGTTTTCGATTCAATATAATTAATTTTAAAATATAGTTGATTAAAATTATTGCCGTTCAATTCATAAAGTTAAATTTTGACTTAACCATTTACACTTTAAATACATTTTAATAAATAATTTCTTTTGCTAGTTAATTTATGAGCGACATAAATGTACCCTAAATTTTTAATTTTGTTTTTTTAAAGCTTCATGAAGAAGTAAAAACTGCAAACTTGGATTCATGCAATATCTTGATGTTCACCAATGTCTGAAATAGCACGTTTTAGAAAAACCAGTTTTTTTTCATTTTAATAATGAGATTTTTTTACTGCTTTCCATTTTTTACAACTATTTTTTTAAATTTTAACAAAATCCATTTCGAAAAAATATTTCTACTCAGATTTAAAATGTATCGAAAGTTTTTTAAATATCGAAAAATATTGTAGACTAGCATGGAGTGATAATTGTGTTCTGTAAAACTAAAATTTTAAGATTAGATTTGGAAGCAAGCACGCTGAGCTAAGGCTTGTCCGTTTGAATCATCGAAAAAAATGCCACTGAAACTTCACGTTCAATGGTATCGTGTATGTTACTATTGTAAAATTGTAACTTATAATGGTGTTAGATCGTAGAAACCAAACAAGCTTTAAAATTTAATATAATATATTCCCCCTCGGGTTGAAATAATTAGCTATTTAAGTACATATGCGGCTCTTCAAGGTCAAAATAGTTCTCAGTGCGGCCCTCACAGCAAAAAGTTTGCCCATCCTGCTTTGAAGCTATTTAATTTTCGATTTATTTTTCTAAGAACAATTATATAAGTTAGTTTTAAACATGGACAATGATGCGAACCCTTATAAATAACCTTCATTCGGAACTTCAGAACGGTTTGTAAAAATATGCTGATCCAACAACTGCTTATTTATTTTTCAACTAACGTCTCTAAATGGATGTTTTAAAAAAATTTGATTGTTTTCATTCAGAGAAAAAATTTAATTTAATTTAATTAAAAACTTTGAAATAATTATCAACTTTTATCAATTTATCAATTGAGTTCAGGGCCGCTTTATCAACTAGGCACAGTAGGCACTGTTCCTAGGGCATACGGAATTTTCAAGGGCCTACAAAAGCCAGAAAACATGAATTAGACTTGGTTATCTAAAATTACTTTCGTTACTTTTGAAAATTTTAAGAAAAAAGAAACACAGGATTAGCTATAAACAACGAATGCGAACCTCATGATGTTATTCCGGTGCTTGCATAGAGACTATAGTCTGCATAGAAAAAATAATAATCCTGAATGTTTATTTAGATTTCAAATCGCAAAAAATATTAAAAACAAAGCCGGATCGCGAAAAATATTAAAAATGAAGCCGGAGAGGGCCTACGATTTTGAAAGTGCCTTGGGCCTACGATGACCTTAAAACGGCTCTGCAACTAAGTTTTTATCAAATTCTGTTACCATGTCTGACAAATTTTGATTTTGTGTTAGCGATTCATCGATAGTTATGAAAATTTTAATAAAAAAAATTTGATAGCTTTGCTTTCAAAATCTGCATCCTGTCTGCGTATATCCTACAAACACGCAAAAACATTTTCAGATGTTCGTCAACGGTGTGCGACAGTTTGGAAGTGTAGTCTTCGCACTCTCATTATATTAATAAATGTTCTAGGTTCTTTGAATGCTGAAATTTGAATGCAAAAATTCTGACGTCACTTTAGCTAGCGCCAAATATTAAGTTCAATTTTTTTTAAGACAAATATCATAGATAGATATTATTTATTTATTTCGATAAACTTTCGAGATATTAATTGCATTCGAGTCGTAGCACTGAAACGCAGAGCTGGGTGCATACGTTAGCAACAAACCATCGTTAAATAACATTACAACTGCATTGCTGGTAATTAACAATTTCAATGATTTATTCATGAACAAAATTTTAAAAAATTATAACAAATGTTACCGGATAAATTTTAAGTTTGTTCATAACCCCTAAACAATTTTCACCAACATTTTAATTTTATATTGTTTGAAAATTTATATGATCAACCAATTTTAAAGTTATTCACATGTTTTATCTAAGATGTAATTGGTTGCTGAAGCCTTTTCTTTCAAGTTGTTCATGTCAACTGCACTTGCACTTGTTTGTACCCAGCAGGGCGGGTTGTCCGATGGAATGAAATCCGCAACCTGAAATTAGTATTGATCTTGGTCTATATATTAACTAACTAGTATTATCTAGAAAATAAAATTGCTCAAAAAATAATTTTGATCTATAAAATAAAATTTATCCGTAAAATTATTTTTACATATAACGTGCTAGTTTGTTTTGGATCATAAAAATAAAATCTTTATTTTAAAATAATTTTAATTATCTTTCAGAAATTTTAGCAAAAATATTCTAATAGAGTGAATAAAACAAAATATTAGATGGTACACAATTTTTATTTAAAATCTTTTGTGAATGAATAACTCTACCAAAAATTATTGTTGATTAATTAGATAGAAATTCAAGTAAATGTTATTTTGTAATGTTTTAACTCACGTTGCATGCTGGAGTATTGTCACAATGATTCAAACACAGATCTTCTGTCGCATAATTTGCCTGACTTAAGCCAGGGTAGTACGTTTTTTCATTTACTATCCAACACAATTCTGAAATATAAAAGTTAAAACTTTTGAAACTAATAAATATAGAAATAACTTAATTAAACTCTTTGTTTGTACTTAGCAACATAATGTTATAACTTGAGAAATTTGAACTTGGTCAACACCATTTACCACAAGTCCTAGCTAAAGTGTCCTATTTCGTGAATTTTTGTTGTACTTTATTTATTTACGCAGCTATATCACTAACAAACCTGAAATTTTAACGAATTTTAAATTGAATAATAATCTGCAGCAAATAACCTGAACTGTAGAGTTCGGAGTAGTTAAAATAACTAAGGCACTTCCTGTCTAACAAAAAGTTGTCAGTGCTATCCTGATTTTCAAAATTCTGTGGGTTAAATTGTTCCTGATCTTCCCACACAAAGCATGGTGGAGATGCTTTGGGATCGTAATCAACCATGAAGCAACTTGTAATGCTGGCACAGTAGTTCAAACAAGAAATAAGGCTGTTGTAAGGAAGGTTCTTCAATCCTTTGTAATGGTAGTTCTCTCTTCTTGCCCAACAGAGTTCTAACGTTGATGAATAAACAACTTTATTATTCAATACTGGTAATAAATTGCAAAAATTTCAATGTTTTAAAATGTAAATTATAACTTTTATAAATTTTAAAAAACGACAATTTTTTGGAAATATAACCAATTCCTAACCAACGCTGTATGGCACCAAATTAGGCTCCAAACAGTTTCTATCTAACATAAAATTGACTCTACTCGGATGACTTGTGAGGCTATCAAGGTTGACGGACGCCGCAGTGGATTGGACGAAGCATGGTGGATCAGCTTTGTGATCAAAATCGACAACCAAACAATTGTCCAAACTGACGCAGTATCTCAAGCAACTATCGATATTGTAATAAGGAGCCTGAAGAAGACCGGGATATGTTGTTTTCAGCTTTTTCATCCAACAGGGGTAATCGTGGTACATCGGCATAATTTCTGGTTATATTTAAAATAAACCATAAAACGTACATATACATATTAATTTTAATTTAAAGTTTTAAAAGCACTTGAAGGTTTTCAGACTAAAAACAAGTCACAGGCGATTTACTAAACAGAAGCAAGTGTCACTTATTTGTAATTTTTCAAAACTAACGAAAAATTTAATTTTTTTAGAAGCGTTTTCTAAATGCTATAATTAGTTTAAATAAATGAGCCCAAAGTCATTTTAATTATTACCAAAATCACAAACTTAAGCATCCAGTTTCGATGTTAAACGGATTGGAAAAAGAGAGATTGTTTTTGACCCAGCGTGGAGCGGAGTGCAAGAATAAACAATTTTTTCAATATTCGTCAATTTCGTTGTAGTAGATAAATTACTGTGGTGTCTAAAAGTAAAACCATCACGCATGCATTTTTAACACCCTTCGTAAATAACGGTTGTTATTTTCAAATGATACGATACGATGCGAGATGATTTTATAAATTTTATTCGCTTACCTTTATCTCTCTTAGATAACTCGATCATTTATTTAATTTCTTATAACTGCTAACAAAATTGGTTAGTTATTTAACTATTTACATTAATATTTATTCAGTCTAATCATTATGATTTTGTTTTGATGTAAACCCATTGAATAAAATTTGCAAAAGTTCAATGATACGCTATTTTAAAATGCTGATAAAACGTACCAAAAGATCATTGTTTTATTAATCTTTTATTTATTTATCTAATCAATCCCGTTGCAATAAGAACATCAGCCGAAAAACTGAACCAACATAAGATTGTATAACTAAAATGGAAAACATAATTGAATGATATAAAGTAAAATATACATGTAAATAAAATAATTGAAAAAATGCATAAGTATGAAAAGTAAAAATAAGTTGAATGTATCAACAAAAATGGAAAAGACAAAAAAATTTGTTCAACCATATAAACCAAATCAAATTTCTAAAATGACATGTTAAACAAACAAATTAAAAAAAAACAAAAACAAAAAAAACGGACTATCGAAAACACATTGCAACATATGATTAATTGATAAACCAAAAAAATAAAACTGGAATAAAATGAAAAAATAAAACAGTGGATCGCGACTAAAATTTTTGACTCTGAAAAGTTCAAACCAAAAAAGTTACAAAATTCGATAGAATGTCAAGAGGCATGGCTAGGAGCTTTGATGAAGTCACCAACAAAAGAACATTTCTCGGTAATTTTTGTAATAAATTTCATGTTTCAATAAACCCAACTTGCGTCAAAATGTAAGTACGAATAAGTTTTTCTTGTACAAACTTAAATAATTTTCAAATGTTTAGACTTTTTTAAAACTTTGAAATTAAATTTTAAATCACCATTTAAAAAATATAAATAGTTTTATATATTTATAATAGCTAACTTGGCTCTGACTGTGAAGGAGGAGTTGCCAAACATGTTCTATCCAATATATGATTGACATTTGATTTATGAGGTCTCAAAGTTTCTCTTCTGACAGGTCCTTCCTTTGTTTGAACCCAGCATGGAGGTTTGGTTCCAACATCGTAATCAACAATGTTACATTCTTTCAAGCTAATGCAGTACTCGAGACAACTGTTCTTGTCATTGTAGGGCGAGTGAGTGAGGCCAGGGTAATGAATCTTTGGACTTACTGTCCAGCAGTTTGAATTGGCATGTTTCTCTTCAATACTCTTGACTTTGCAAAATAATTCATTGCGGTCGAATCATTAAAAGTGAAGTTTTTTTTACTAAAATTTCTATTCTCATTTCTGGAAACGACCCAAAAGGAGAAAATCAAGTGTTTTTGCTAATTTGTATACATGAAAAAATCCAACACTGACAACACAAAATTTGTAACAAAAAGCAGTGCATATAAAAACAACCAGTACATAATAAAAAAATAAGAGAACTAAAATAATTTGAAAATGGAAATACATGAAAATGCATTAGCAAATAATTCAGTATACCAACAACGGTTATGGAGTCATAAGCGTTAAAGGATTAAAAGTCTATAGCACTCTTCCTGGTTACGCTCTTCCTATGTTCAGAGGTACAAAAACACGCAAACAGCGTGTATGGAAACGGGCTAAAGGATACATCACACACGAAGTAAGTAAAAGGCGGGGATTTTTCGTTCATATTTGAACCCGGTGACTGCACCAGACAACATCACCAAGCGACCTTAACCATTAAGCCACCACACCGTCCAAAACAAAAATGCAACCAACATTTCTTGCAGTATAAAGTTAGGGTGGATGATGAAGGTTGGAAAACTTTACCCACTTTAAGAGTGGCGAGTGTGAACAAACAACATATAAATATAAAAAATTTAATGACAATACGATTAAAATAGGATTTGATTCTGAATGAGTGATTTCAATAGCTATTAAGTAGATTTTAATACTGATTCTGAATGAGTAAATAAATAAAAAACCCATTGAATGAACAAGTTTTATAATAATAAAAAATAATAATAACAATGTAATAACAACAATTGCAATTTTCATTTATTACATTAATGTAAACAGGCAAATTTTGTAAAAAATGTAAATTGAAATTGCGCCAACGAAAAATTATAACGTTAACTAAACTGATACCGAAAACATTGCGTCCACTCCACTACAAACCAGACTCTAAAAACACCATGAAGCCATTTCTGCTGATATTGCAGAGATAACTTAAAATTTTTTCATTATAAGTGTAGGTTAATATTTTAATTTATGAATTATAATTACCTGAATTTATAAAAAGATAGTGCAGTTTTTTAATACACCCTAAATATTTAATCTGTTCTTTCCGCGTCTCTTCACAGTCATAAAAATTTCGATTCCGTTGTAGAACATTCAGTCACTTACAACTAGCATTTATGACAAATTTAAAAATTTTTTCCTTTAAAAAGTTTGCTTTTATGGAAAAACTAAATGATTAAAAAACGTTGAAAAATGAACTCCTCGAAAAAGGAAATGTAAACGTGAGTGATAGTGTAAAAAGAGCACTCATAAAACGATTCCATACAATATTCTACTTAAGGGAACATATAGGCATATGATTTAGGGTCTATAAAAATAAGTGGATTAATTTAGCCTTCAAAACTTACTGTATTACAACTTTGTTTAATAATAATTTATTATTTATTTATTTATACTGAAGTGTAAATAAGTGCTCCAGTCTTAAATATCTGCAGCAGCATTTCAGAAATGTTGGAAAAAGTGGAATGTTAGACAGTGTTCGTGATGATGTAGATGGCAACATGTCTTTCCACGCAGCTTTTAACATTTGATCAAATGCCAAAAAAATGTGTTTCTTTGACACGTAAAATGTGAAAATAAAATGAAAATAAAGATCAATCGTTCATTTTATTCCGTCTTAGCTTTATAGTAAATTTTTCGATTTGATCGTCAGTAAAAATTCCTGGCCGAAGTCTTCCGCATCAGGGATAGGAATTTATCGGCATCAACAATTCAAGTAAATTGTAAACTATCTGAAAAAGAAGTGGATAGCGAAAACTCTATCATTTAATCAATTTTACATTGTACATGAATGAATTATAGTAGTCAAACACGAGTACTATTTTCGGTTTCTTAAATAATTGAATTATTCATTAATAGTTAAAAGATCGGTGTCAATTAACTATTATACAAATCCATAATTTATACTATTATTAAAAAAGGTTCAGACACAGGTTGCAACTTTCTATTATACATATTAGGAATTTAATTTTTTGCTGTAAAAATTGTTCAGTATTCTCAAACTTTGTCATTAAGTGAAGCAGCATTTTAACAAAATTTGTTCAGAAAACAGAAACATCTTGAGATAAACCAAACCAGTCAGTATTACCAATGGATGCAAAGTTTTTTTTGTTTTGGAAATTTATAAAAAATTACAACCATTCATAGAGTAGCACCTATGTTTTAGTTGGTATATTATGAACGAAAAGTATGACCCAAGAAAAATATGATAAAAATAAAAAAGATTACTATATGGAATGCATGTAAAAAAATAAATGGATATCAATGCAATGTACTTTACTTCCTATATGTCATTGCAGTTCTTATTGTTAGATATAAATTAGGGCTATATCGGATTTGATCGAATCTGCAAACAAATCGGCCGAAGCCGGGTTTGTGAATCAGTTGGATTTTATGTTATAACCAGGGACTATGGCTTCATTAGCTTGCCTATACTGGTCTCAAACCTATCGTAAAATCTTTTCATAAAATATCTCCCTCAATAACTCAACAAATTAATTTAAATCTGATTTAAATTGAATCAGTACTCCTTTATCTATTTTCGTAAATTCTATCGTAAACGTGCATGCATCATTAACATTTTGAAAGAAATTTTTCACTTGATGTTAATAACTCATAATTTAAAAATAATTAAAATATAATCGAGTAAATAATTAAGATAATCAAATCAATCATATGATCCAAGCAATACATTCGTATTTTTTCCCGCTAACAGATCATCTTGCATATTTACAACACGTTTATTGATTATTACACACTCACATACTTGTTTACAACTGAATGTACAATGCGTAAATACAAACATACACCAACACATAGATATATACAAATATATATTTTTGGAATAGTCTACCAAAATTACTAAGACAGCCCGAACTGACAGAAAAATCATTCAGGAAATTATTGAAATCATTTTTGTTTTCATTATAAGATTTGGTTTATTGTAGCAATTGAACTGTTTTTTTTTGTTTTTTTTTAGACAGTGCTTTTGAAAAACATTTTGTTTGTAATTAGCGCTATACAAATTTTCGAATAATTTCGTATAATAATATATACATATATGTTCAAATTTGAATGACAATTTTGAAACGAAATCCGGCCCAAATTTTGGGTGGAGCCGGAGCCAAATTCCGTTAGAGCTCCAATGTATTGAAATTGATAGCTACAATTTCTATTAAATTACAATCGTTACAGATAGGAATTTCAATAAGAGCATTTTTGAAGACTAACCTGGAACAATTGGTATATCAGTTGGTGCCAAACATTTTCTATCCAAAATGTAGTTGACATTTGTTCTGTGAGATTTCAAGGTCTCTTTCCTGACGGGTCCTTCCTGCGTTTGCACCCAGCATGGTGGATTGGTACCAATGTCGTAATCAACAATGTTACATTGCTTCAGACTGATGCAGTGCTTGAGGCAACTGGCCTCGTCGTGGTGAGAAGATTGTGTGAGGCCAGGATAATGAATGAGTGGACTTTTTGTCCAGCATTGAGAAGCAGGCAGGTTTTTGTCAACTTAAAAAAGAGTATTTGTATCTCTATTGTTAGAATTACGCATTAATTTTTGTAAATAATTATAAAATAAATTTTATTGAACTGTCAATTATAATGAAGTCATAAAACGCCCTCAACGATTCAATGTTAGTAAATAAGGCAATTGTTGGGTTTACCAATGCTTATTATACATTTAATTGAGGAGTTCAAGAAGGTATTTAATTGATAGTAGCTAACTTGCTTTCACAGCTATATACTGTTTTAAACTTATAAATTATATTTGAAGATTAAAATATATCGACAACATGATCGATCGTCGACAATCTCCATCCAGACACCTATGACATTATACAAAGGACGTTATTATTATTATCCAAATCTTAAAATATTGCATTGAATGGAGATGGTTTGTGTGGAGAATTTAACACATTAAAGAACATTTCTCTCTAAGAGTATTCCTAATGTCAAACTACGACCTATGGTGAGTAAATGTCACATACGATGGCTGCTTCTTTGCGGATTTGAATTAAAAACTCTGAAGATCAACAATTCAAAAAACTTTTTTAAATGTAGAGTTATCGACAAACGCTCAGTTTAGATTGGACAAACATAGTAAACAAAGCCATGAACTAAAGTAGCAAAAAATTATAATGATTATAAAATAGCGAGCTTATGCTCCAAAAAGTGCAAAATATTTGGCACTTCATTTCAAAATTCGAGAAAAAAAAGGAACGGTGTGACAATAGTAAAAAAGTGTTTTGGTTTTGGAACATCTAAGCCTAAGTAGGGACTCATGAAGCGAGAAAAATATTAAGTCGCAAGAGAACAAGCCCCTCGTTTAAGCCATTGTCAACCATTTCATTTTATGTAGATTTTCACAAAAAATGTTTTAATTTTTCTTCCATTTTGAAATCATTAAAATCAAATCAAATATAACTCTGACAAACAATATAAATGATAATAAAATAATAACAATCAAGGAAAAGAAACCCTACCAGGCGCATGGTCCCAACTTCTGCTCTTGTGTTCTCCATGTCCTCCGTGGCCACCAAACAGGCCAAATAGAGGGGCCACTGAAAGAATAATTTCAAAAAATCCAGTTATTAATTTTAACCTTTGCCAAAAAGACTAAAAACCAATTTAGTTGAATTAGATATTTGTTATTTTGAACTCGTAGAAAATATAATAGGATATATATTATGGATTAAAATAAGTGTCAATAATAGCTTAAATAATGTTTTTGTATTAAACACATTTCCACGACAAAAATAATTATAATCATGTTTAATTTTAAAATAAAATTTGAAATTTACAAATATTTTTTTGCTCGTGGCTGTGGCTTTTATGGCCCCCTCCTCCCCATCCAAATCCTCCTCTCATTCCAAATCCACCACGTCCTATGTGACCATCACACGCCACCAGGATTGTTAACAGCACTAATGTTTTCCTCATTTTCTCTCCAGAACTTCTAAAATAAATATTTTTAAATTTTAACAATTAATTAAATTATTGAATCCTTTTGATCAAATTGTTTTTTTCAAGCAGATGTCAATAAAACTAATAGTTTCCAGTGTTTATTGACTTATAATCATTCGATCAGACAACTAGACACACATATTTGCAAAATAGTACGTTTCACCAATTGAATCAACAAAAATTTTTTCTTCTCAAATTTTAAAAACTTTTCATACAAAATTGACATATCAAGTCATTTTTGGTTTATTGATAATAATACTATTAAATGATTATTTATTCTTTCGAGTTACATATTCAACCAAATCCAACTATCCAACAGATCAACAGTACACACACTCACCGGTCTAGAATTTCCGATATATCTCAACTCAACAAAACTCGTTTGAAAATATTCCATCAAAGAATTATATACCCGACGTCGTTGGTGTTTTTGCAAAACAACACCATAAAAAACAACAACAATAACAACAACAATAACAACAACAACAAGAATAATAATAAATGTAATAATATTAATAATAGCAATACCTTTTGTAATGCTCGCATAGAGTTAACTGTAAATTTTATTATTATTATTGTTATTGCTACCTGTTTTTCTGGGTGTTTATCGCAATCTCTATCGACCAATGTGATTATTTTACGACGAAATGTGAAAAAGACGCACATTTAAAAAGATGCAACATAAAATGCCTCGGCACGCAATATGAGATAAAGTTGTTAGTTATAAGCCAGCCACGTGTTACTCTGGCTGGTAAAGTGAATGCTAGATCGGTAAGAATAATCATATCTAACATTATTTCTTTTTACGTTTTTTTTGATAATACTGTATATTGAATATTTTTTACTTGTATTATTATATTTATAATAGATTTTTAAAAATGTTTTCATTCAGTTCGTAAAGTTATAAGTTGGGGATAACATTTAAATCTGCTGATCAACAAAAAAGTTCGTCCTTTATATCTGAAACTTTCAAATTAAATTTTAACGCAGTTTGGATTTCTACTTTTGAAAGTAGTATTATTAGTATAATTTATTTAAAAAATACTAAAGTTTTTTAAATGATAGCAATAATAAGAAAATTAAAAATAATTCAAAAAACAATTTGTAATAAACAGGTAATGTTCATTCGTGTTCACTTAATAACGGCTCAACAATTTATTGCAACTCATTTCCAAGGATTGATAATTTTCTTGATAATTTTTTTTTACGAATCGTTATATCATAATTGTTTTTTTTATTTTACGAGAGCATTTGCTTCGATATTGCTTCGTATCGTGTCATCGGTGAACAGTTATTGATGAGAAGAAAAAACACTGCGAATCTCACCACGTCAGTGAATGATGTATTATGATAACAACAACAATAACAACAGCAACAAAAACAATTATAACAGTAACATAAAGTGATAACGATGAAAAACAACAACAACAACAACAACATTGATTTTAAACTGCACCCTTGAGCTCTTTCAAAGTACTCCGTATTACATCAATTTTATCAATTGCTAGTTGTTTTTTATCTGAGGTGCGCTTTTGTTGTCCATTCTTATCTACATTTCATCTCTTTATAATTTTTGTTAACGTAAAAAATCGTATCATTTTTTGCGGGCATACTTTAAGATTTCTGTTTTCGTTTATTTGTTCACTCAATCGTTTGTGGCTGCTTTGAGGTGGCGAGGGAGCTTTCCACTAATAAGAGACGCTTTTTTAAAAAAGGTGGATACAAATTTTTTCAACTACGTTTCCATAATTTTTTGTATTTATATTTTTATATTTTTTAAATTTTACCTACCTAACCTTACACACACACACACCACACACACACACACACAAACACACACACACACACAATATAATATAATCGCACACACACATGCGTGAACATACAAATAAAATGTATATGTAAAATACAAAGACGAGCCATTTTTAAAATTGTCTCACTGCCAGAGGTAAGAATAATGATGACGTCACACAATTGCTTCATTAAGTTTGCCAGCCAGCCATCTAAATAATAAATATAACTATAAATAAAATAGAATATAACGACAAACTCTTCGTTTTTAATGCTATGGCTCAATACATATATGCTAAATTTCTATGTTTTATTCTTATGAATGCATGCGTGTGTGTTAGCATGTATGAGTGTGTTTGTTTGTGTTGTGTGTGTATTATTAATGACCAGATCGATACAAACGGGAATCGGTAGAAAATGAATAAATTAGTAGTCGGATGCGAAAATGTAAAAATTCATAACTAATAAATGACGATGCATTGAGACGTGTCAGTCCATTTGGGTCATGATAATTATGATTACGATGATGATAATGATTATTACTATAATTACTACTGCTACTAGTACTAGCTGCTACTAGTACTACTAATACAACTGCGCTACTAATAGTACTACTTCTGCTTTTACTATTACTACTGCTACTACTGCATTGGTAAGATGCACCTCTTCATGGAAGCATTTATAATTATATTAAATAAAGCAAATACAGGCGCATGGCAGCGTATTTAAAGCATGTGTATCAGTCTTCCTGTCTCAACATACATCGTTAGAAAATTTTTGGATGTTCTTTCGCTGTTCATAACTGGCATGATTCAGCATCTTTAAAAGATGGACTTTTTTCAAAGTTGCCCAAGCATGCAATTGTTACACCGTTGTTGAAAATGTTCAGGCTGGACGCGTCTGTTCTAAGTAACTGAAGTCCGGTTTCCAAACTAACTTTTTTGTCAAAGGTAATGGAAAGAGTGGCTGTACGACAATTAGTGCAGCATTTAAACAAACAGAAATTAATGCCGTATGCGCAAATGCCTATCATTCAACAGAGACAACGCAAAAACGTCTATTGATGAGGCTGTTGATAAGAAAAACGTGTCTCTCTTGGCACTTCTGGACATGAGTGCAGCTTTTAACTGCTTCAATCATAATTTTCTTTATCAACTTTTGAAAAATCAATTTGGTTTGAAAAGCAAGTTACTTGGTTGGGTAATCTCATTTGTTTGTGAGAGAAGCTTTGAAGTTTTTTTGAGAAGGACAATCATCAGCGGTGACGGAAATTAAGAGTGGAGTCCCTCAAGATTCAGTGCTGGGACCTTTCTATTTTTTACACTTCATGTTTAGCAATTGTGCTATTGATAAAACATGATGATCTACATGTATACTCATACGCTAATGACATAATGACCTGTGCTGCTGACGTGGGATCGGTGACAACAATGGTCAAATCAGTGTCAGAAAAACTACTGTACATTTAAAATTGGTTGGACGCTTATAGATTGAAATTGAATGAGAACAAAACACAAGTAATGTTAATTGTAACTAGACAGCAACTTTTAAAGATCAATGTTGAAGGCCTAAAATTTTGGCCAGTAATGGTGCTTTTATCCGATGTGGTAAAGAATTTCGGTTTTTGGTTGGATGGTACACTAAACAATGTTATGTTAAACATGCATATTGGCGATATCATCAAGAATTGTTCATTCGAGCTTTGACAGATCTGTCGCATCAGAACTTCTCTTGATGTGGATACAACAAAACTTTTGATGCAGCCTTTCGTAGTCAGTCGAGTTGATTATTGCAACAGCTTACTTAGCGGATGCTCAAAGTTAACATTAAACGGACTGCAATCAATTCAAAATTAAGCGGCAAAGACTCTAATAAAAAAATATGATCATGACGCCACTACTTCACAAATTACATTAGCTGCCAATTGAGTGCAGAATTGTTTTCAATGTTTTGGTGGTGATGAAAAGATGTGTCAAAGGTGAAATACCGAAACACCTAATGTATTTATGCAAGAAAACCTAAGTGACCGAAGGTGGGAGAATTTTGAGGTCCTACAGGAATAATGATTTTCAGGTACCGCTGGTTATGTTATCAACATCTTCAATAAGTTTCGCCGTGTACGACCCAATGATGTTGAATAACTTGCTAACAGAACTGAAAATAAATGATACTGAAGAGACTGTTTTTAGAAAAAGAATCAAAGCGCCCCTGTGGTAAATGGCGCTTGTGAGACTTGAACGGGCACAGTATATAAACTCTACATATAATAATATTAATAGCTACGTACAGCGCGTAGAAAACATCTATACGCAGCATATTTAAGCAAATTTTAAATTACATATGGCCTATATAAGCTCACATAAAGCATTCATAACTGTTTAAAGCATATAAAAGCATATATAGCATTATACCATAACAACATTTGTAGCAATAACAACATTATTGACAACGATAAACAACCACCACAACAACAACAACGGCAACATTAATAACAAAAACAAATCAACAGGTAAACATCAACAATTCCTTATAATAATAACATCTGTTTTCTTAACAATGATCGTTATTCTTGGCGTCCTACACCCAACAAATTCTGTTACGAAAACATATTAACTTAGGGATATACAAGTAAGCAAAAAAAAACCCATCAACCATCATCATAGGACTTATTTGCCACTTTAAAATAAAATAAACTTTTTGGAACAGTTTTTACTGATTCTGACTTTATTTTTTGGCTGGCTGGCTTAGCTTTGTGTGGACCAAGTCTCGACATGTGTGTTTGAATCGTTAGTTGTTTTCTACTGCAGTTCTATTACTCTTATGATTGTAATCAACTTTTTTGAACGTGCAAGTCGTTTTTACTGAGACCTTCCTTCCTATTGATGTTTTGTTATGATGGTGTTTTTCGACAGGTTTATTTACGTGAAATAATTACAGATCTACATGAAAAGGATACAAAGAAGAGTGCAGTTCTTAACTAGTGTTTGTACTTTAAGTATCAACCCATAAGCTCTGACAAAAAAATAAAGAGTAATTAAACATGTAAAAAGCCAGTATAAAAAAGTACAAGAACTTTATGAAAACATTCAAAAATAAAATATGCAGTTTCGCACCCAACACGAGTCCCCAAGATAATTTAAACATATGCAGACGTTAGCTTCATTTGTTGTCGATTGGATGATAAATTGGTGTCCTGCATGCCATTGATTTAGGCATGAAGATGAAAAACACATGTTCCAATAAAATCAATGAGAAACACTAGTTTTACCTTAACAACTTAACTAAAAAATTAACCAGAGATTTGTTAAGATTGAAAATTCTGATATTGAGGCTTTCACTTTAGATAATGATTTTATTTCAATTTTTCGATCGGGGTAGGTGAATGTTGATCGAGCAAAATGTTTTCGCAACTAGCTTGTTCGACCGACCCAGTCAAATTTTATTAAAAGATGCTGTTTATTTTATAGCTTGGAGAAGTTAAAAATCAACTATAACACCAGAACAGATTCATACCCATTATTCATTATTGTTCATAATTATCAAAAACTGTGTCTACATAAGTTGTGAAGTTTTAAACATATCTCCATATCATTCACATGTTTTGTCTAAAATGTAGTTGGTAACTGACTCTTTAGAGTTTAAATTGCTGAGATTGACAGCATTTCCATCGGTTTGAATCCAGCACGGAGGATTATCTTTTGGATTGTAATCTACAATCTAAAAAGAAAATTTTTTCATGACTAAAACAGTGAACATCTTTTAAAATGTGAAAAGTAACAAATGTATCAACAAAGTTTAACTAATAATCACTAGCGCAAGATTTTAACTCACGCTGCACTTTGGTGAATCGGAGCAATGATTGAGGCAGGAATCCTCTGTTTTGTAGCTGGCCTTTTCCAACCCAGAATATTTAGAGTTCTCGTTAACAGTCCAACAAAGTTCTATTAATAAATTATTTTAATAAATTAATAAATTATCAGTAGTTTATAAAATTAATTAATAGTTTTTATTGTTATTATCAAATATTTTCAATGTTTTAAGAAAAAAATTAGGATAATCAGTGACAAAAATTATTTATTTTGTGAAATTCATATAAGATAAACAGTCAATGAGCTCTTTACATTAAATTATAATGATTGTTCATTAATCATTGAAATTTAGTATGGTGTTAATCTCTTTGTTCAGCGACGCCTCCCAAAACACTGAAAAATTTGAAAAACACTGGTCATATGCATAATAGGCGTGCAAAATAACGTATTCTAGTGTTTTTTAAGGCGGCTATTTGTATCTGACTTCTAGCCAGGTCAAACGACTAGACGCTCTAGCTATTGAGTCCTTCTTGGGCTACCTAATGATTATTATTGAAAAAAATATTGTAATTGGCAGCTCGATTTGAAATTATAGGCAAAAATCAAAAAATAAATTTTTGTTTATGTTTTAAATATTTGAATAACATGTAGTGATCAAGTTTAAAATTTATAAAAAACGTCATTACTTTTTATTTTATTTTGGTTAAAATAATTCAACAACTTTTTTTCAATTGCACTATATTTAATTGTAATCCTATTTTTAAATGCGACAAAATATATTTGATAATTTTTAACAAATAACCTGAACTGTAGAATTTGGAGTAGTCGAAATAACTCAAACACTCTCTGTCTAACAAAAAGTTGTCTGCACTTGTGTGATTTTCAAAATTTTGCGGATCAAACTGTTCTTGATCCTCCCAAACGAAGCATGGTGGAGTTATTTTGGGGTCATAATCAACCATGAAGCAACTATCAAAACTAGCACAGTAGTTCAAACAAGAGGGGAGGTTGTTGTAGGGCATGTTCTTCAATCCTTTGTAATGGTAGTTTTCTCTTCTTGCCCAGCAGAGTTCTAATGTTCATTAAGTTAATATTTTTTATCCGATATTGTTAATAAATCACAAAAAATAACTTTAATGTTTCAAAGAGTGATTTATGATTTTCTTTAATTTAAATAAAAACATTTTTTAAAAATTACAACTGATTCCTAACCAACGCTGTATGGCACAAAATTAGGCTCCAAGCAGTTTCTATCTAGCATAAAATTGACTCTACTCGGATGTCTTGTGAGGCTATCAAGGTTGACGGACGCCGCAGCGGATTGGACGAAGCATGGTGGATCAGCTTTGTGGTCGAAATCGACAACCAAACAATTGTCCAAACTGACGCAGTATCCCAAGCAACTATCGATATTATAGTAAGGTGCTTCTTTCAGAGCTGGATATGTTGTTCTTACACTTTTCACCCAACAAGGATAATTATAAAAGCTTGGAAAGTCATCTTGTTTATCTGATATATTATTATTTTTTAATGAAATTATAAAACTGGTAAAAAATTTGTTAAAAAAAATAATCTTTTCAAATTTTGTAACTCTATTTAGTTTAGTAGCAGTTAAATATGAGACTCGTGTAGGCAGAAGTTTAATTTATCCACTACCACGTAAATATATTTATCATAGAAAGAAATTACAAATTATTTTATGCACAAATATGATAAACAAAATTAACGCTGCCTCAAAAAATGTTGATGGTGCCTTGACAGGTTTGAAACAACTTGTGTTTAATTTCTTGTATATTGAAGTGTTAAAACACAGATAAAAAAGCAATAATAAAACCACAATTCTCATTATCTAGTATATGTGCCCTAGGTAATCTACCTAAAAACGGTTATACAGTGTTCCTATCGCAATAAATGGCATACGGTTTAATAACTGAGTTAATTACTTTGTCCGTTAATGAAATAGGCCAATCACTAGGATATCCAGATTGTAGCAAAAACTGTGCCTGAAATGCTTGGATCGGTTGCAGATCGACTCGCAAATTGTTTGTCTTATATATATGTTTGGATGGCGCAAAATGATATTCAGATGAACCAAACTAAAACACAACTTTTACCTATAGGCACCTGGCAACAGTTGTCCAAAATGAATGCTAAGTCCATTAAATTCAATAAAAATGTTATAAATTTTTCTAGTTCAGCGACTGTGCTTGGTTTTATTTTGGATTTCAAGCTGTTGAAGAACCAGCAAATAAAGTTTTTGTTTAAATCTTGCACATTTCAGCAACGTTTGCTGAGAAAAACGAGAAAATGTTTAACCAAAGACACATTTTGAACCAAACTTTTTGGTTCATTTTTTCATATATGCTCATTTGGATTTTTATAACAGTTTTTATTACGGAATATCAAAGCGGGATTTATCTATGTTGCAGTCAATTCAAAACAGGGCGGCTAAGGTTGTGGTTGGGTGTAGTTGAGTTGACAATGTGAGCCCAATACTGAATGAATTGCATTGGTTGCAGGTTGATAAGAGAATTATTTTTAAATGATGTGTATTAATTTGTCAAAGGATTCAAATGTTTTGTGTGCGCCAAAGACAAACCTCAAGATTGGATCTCAAAACTTTGCTGTGGTCAAACCACGATTGTGAAATACCCTTCCAAACACTTTGAGCAGTGGTGATTTTGCTTTAAGTCAATTTAAGAGACAGCTGAAAACCTATCCGTTCAGCCCTTAATAGCATTTAATATATTGAAGCGCCTGTGACGATTGTTTTTTTTCAAACGGGCGCTATATAAATGCAATGAATAATAATAATAATAATAATCAGTTTTAATCGATGACACTTTAACAGTATTAAAAAATCCAATCGGAGTAACTTCAAATGTTTTTAATGCAATAGAGCAGATTTTATAGGAGGTGTTCAAACATGATTTCAAGCTGTTGCTGTATTTTGATTGTTTGTACATTTTAGACTGGATCAGATTCGTCTCGTGGCACACTGTCAATTAGATTACCTCTATCTTTCGGTTGTGCAGAATGAGTGTTGAACAGTTGCGCCATCGGTAGGACTCCGATCGATACTATATCTGCAAATATTAGGCAGTCCTTAGAAGAACATGCCATCAACCAGTTAATTATTTCTGATAGAATTTTATTATGTCTCTCTGTATATCTTAACAGGGCCGCCTCAAATCCACAATTGGACATCTGTCTGATTGTCTGTTGCGCACTACAAACGGGACGGGACATAGTGCCTTGTGTTTTTTCCATCTGTTTAGATTTGCGTTGATCGGTAGTTGCTGAATGACATATTTTCTTGCAAACCGCACTACAAACGGGACGGGACATAGTGCCTTGTGTTTTTTCCATCTGTTTAGATTTGCGTTGATCGGTAGTTGCTGAATGACATATTTTCTTGCAAACCTTGCAAACCTAATTTTTTGGACCAATGAGTTATTTGAGATGAGGATAATGTCGCTGTCACAGATTTGATAAGAGTACCTTGATTTCACAGAAAAACAATATGATTCCAACAGACATCTATCCGGTTTTTTTTAAGAATATTAGCGACTGAAATGTTGATTCCGCACATTTTGAAGTCTATTGCTGTTTCCCGTCAATGACATCAAATTTCTGTATTTGAACTTGTTTTAAAATAGTTGCGGAGTTTGATTCTCATTTTCAACGCAGAGTCTTTTAGTGAAACATTATTTTGGTATCCAATCATCAACAGCAGACCCAACATCTCTAATACACAACCGCTGAATGGCACTGTTAGCCAATTTCTGACTGCTTCTACCACTAGGTTGTCCAAAGCATTAACGATCCATGTCAGGAAAAAGTTGTAGCTCTATAGCTCAAATTTTAATTGTAAAGAAATGAATTTTCTTAAAATTTGTAACTTCATTTGTGCTGGAACATTAAAATTAGTCGGAATCTTTAGCAGCCGTGACAATTTGGCAACCATTTCTTTTTTAGCTTTTGTATTTTTCAATTCCGAATCGTATATTTTATTTAAGTATTTGAATCCCGAGACCATTTTCACGGCTTAAATGGGAATATTGTCAATTGTCAATCTAGGCAGAAAAATGATCATATGAACCTTTATTCTTCCTCATTCTAAATACAAAACAACAATAATAATATAGTAATAATAATAGTAATAATAATAATAATAATGTAGAGTTAATACAAAAATGCCAAAAATAAATTTAATCTTGATCTTATTTCTCTTATTTTTTTGCTAAATCAAACCCTTTTTTGATTTGTAGTTTTTAGATGATATAAACAAAAAAAGTGTCAAAAAAAATATAAAAAAACAAAATAAATAAATTTAGTGATTCTGGATGCAAAAAAAACAATTCTAATTCTGATTACCTATAATTGGAACAGCAATACCAGATGATAGACAATTTCGATCAAGAATGAAATTGACATTTGTTCCATGAGGTCTCAAATTTCCATTATCGACAGAACCTTCTGCAGTTTGCACAAAGCATGGCGGATTAGCCGCAGTGTTGTAGTCAACAACATTACATTGTTGAAGACTAATACAGTATTCTAGGCAACTTTTCTCATCATGATAAGGTGACTGTGTAAGACCAGGATAGTGTATTAATGGAGTTCTTGACCAGCAGCCAGGATTTGGAATGTTTAAATCAACTAAAAATATTGAATTTTAAAACAGAAAACCTCAGGCCTACATAGTTTCAAATATGTTCTGAAACATCTAATTAGACATAATTTTTAAAAGAGAAATAAAAAACGTTTTTTCGAACTCACCTAAATTCACTGCAGGCTGACCTGGCATTACGCACGATCTATTTAAAATATAATTGACATTCGTTCCATGAGGTCTCAAATTTCCATTATCGACAGGACTTTCTGCAGTTTGCACAAAGCATGGCGGATTAGCCGCAGTGTTGTAGTCAACAACATTACATTGTTGAAGACTAATACAGTATTCTAGGCAACTTTTCTCATCATGATAAGGTGACTGTGTAAGACCAGGATAGTGTATTAATGGAGTTCTTGACCAGCAGCCAGGATTTGGTATGTTTGAATCAACTGAAAATATTGAATTTTAAAATAGAAAACTATATATGACTCATACTAACCGACATATTTACATATATCTATGTACAATAAATAGTATATATATAATAGATAATATAATGTAAAATAAAATATATAGTATATACTCTATATATATGTATACTCAATTTTTTGATTTTTTTTTCTGCAGAATAAGTTGTACATCTCTTGCGACTAAAATGTGTTTTGTGAATTACTTTAAAAACACCTTTGTTTGCAATTTTTTCTATTTGGATTACTCAGATAAAAAATAGACAAAGCGGTTTATTTTACTCGGGCTACTGATGGATAGCGTAATAGACAAAACGTGTCTAACCTAAAACTTATAATGCTCCTTTGATCGTGGTTGGAGACGGTGTACGTTATGTACTTGTAGTGGCCAACGTGTCTGTATGGCAGATCAACTATTTTCACCCATTATATTTATTTTATTTTTCTGTCTGTTTTCTCCATCCAAGGAGTCAAAAATGACTTGTCGCTATCCGTTTCTGTCTTTCGCAATCTCTTCTAGTGTTGTCTACTCCTCCTGCAAGAGCTTTCCTTTTTTTAATTTTTTTTCCTATTTCACTTGCCTTGTTAGTTTGATTTCTTAAATAAATAAATTCTGATACTGTTTCTATTTATTCCCCATTTTCTTTCATCTGTGGCCAAAGTCCGTATGTCTCTGGCGTTATCTTTGTTTTCTTGATGTTTATATTTTGACAGAATTTTTCACTTTTTAGTTATAGAACGTCGTTTAGCTCCATTACTTCATATCTATGGGGCTACGCTTTTTCCAAGATTTTCAAACTTTTCCAGTTTTATCAATATGTTGCCCAGAGTGATGGTGAATAAGATCGGTAATAGAATGCATCCTTGTCTGAAACTAGTTTCCATCTGGAACGACACAGATTATTTCCCTTCTACTCTTATATTTGCTAAACCGTACTTTATAAATTTTTGATCAATCGAATTACTCTTCGATGTAGCCCATATTTTTTGAAAATTTCCCATGCTCCTTCTTTTCAAATAAAATCCTACGTTTGGACAAAGTCTATGAAACATATGTAAACTTCTTCATTGACCTCATTTTTTTCTTTCTTAGCACAAAAATCTGTTCAAAACATCTTTTACTTTTCCAAAATCCGCTTTGGTTTTTTCTGAAAAGACTTATTATGGTGTCACCATCACGATTTTAAATTATTTTTAACACCTTTCCCGGTACAGTGAGCAGGCTTATTTCTCTTGAGTTACCTAATTTATTGAATTATTGTTGCTTTTTTCCAATCCTCTGGAATAATTTCTTCTTTCTATGAAACGTTTATTACCCTGTAAAACAAGTTAATCGTGTCTGCTACTATGTTTTGCAATAATTCACCTGTTATATTGCAGATTTCTCATGTTTTGATCTTCTTAATCTTATTAATTGCCATTTTTACCTCCATTACATCGATGTTATCTGCCATCTCTTCTTCTATCTCTGTCATAAGTAAGCTAGTTGATTTTATTTTGTGAGTGTCATTATTTATTTTTAGGCTCATGTCTGTTAAGCCACTCACTGAAATGTACGTTCCATCACCTTCTCCTTTGCTGCTATTATCTTACCACTGTTGTCAATAATATGCTCAATCGTGATAATTTTACTATTCTAAATTCCGGTTAAGTTCTTTATATTGTCAAATAGTTTTTTGTTGTTTACCACTTTTAACGCCTTTGCTGTTTCCCTGGCTATTTCTTCTAAGCACTTGTTACGATTTTTACTATTGCTTTCTTAATAACTTTTTTATTTTCATTGAATAATTCTTCACTGCTGTTGGTGTCCTTTGTTGCCACTCTATTAGTCGCTATTTTAGACTCTTCCGATATCAATGTTTTCATTTTAGGTTTTTGAATCTCAGTTCATTTTTGGCCACCTCTTTGATTACAATTTTAAATCTATTTGACTCTTTTTCTACGCACCCTCACTCTTCTGTTACCATTTCCAGTGCCTCAATTTCATTTTTCATCTCTATGCAGCATGGTTCTCTCACGCTCTCGTCTTTTAGTCTTCTTATATTTTATCTTTTAATCAAATTTTACGGACTCATTTTATGTAGCTTCATTTCTATTTTTGTCCCTATTAGAGCGTGATTAGATTCGATTTCTACTGACCAGTAAGCTTTCGTTTTCATCACTAAGTAAGCCACTCTTTTTCGTAATTCTGTATATCTCCATTTGGTGACTTTTACGTGACCTTTCTATTTGGTTTCTGGATGAACTGAGTGTTTATGACGCAAAGCTAATTATTTGAACATAACTCCAGGAGTCTCCTTCTATTGTCGTTTTCTTCTTCACTACCATGACTTACAATGGTCTTTCTCCAGGTTTTAATATCGCATTATATTTTTGCATTAAAATCTTCTAATAGCATCAATATGTCAATCATATTTTCGTATTTTGTCGAGTACCTCTTGCAAAATTCCTTGGCAAAATTATCACTATCCTCGCAGGCGCATATACGTTTATGAACGTGATATTGGCATGTCTGAACTTTGCACGTATTTGGATTATTCTTTTAGTCACGTAATTCACATTCGTTACCGTTTTAATCAGCTTGGATTCCATTGCTATGACTACACCTTTTTCATGTTTGTTTCCAATATCTGGTTCGCAGTACCAGAGTGTGTATCTATTTGACGTCATCCTGCCACTTCCCGTACAATGTGTTTCACTGATCCCGCATATCTTGATATTAAGTCTTTTCATTTTTATTTATTTAAAGACAAATATAAATGATCACTGAAAAATATAAATAAATATAAACAATAAAAATATAAATGTCTAATTATAAGAAAATATGAATTAAGTTAAACTAAAAACTAACAAACAAAAACAAAAAAATCAAACAAATTTAAATAAAAATATTAAAAACAGTATAGTTGTATGGAAACACGTACCGTGGATTTGTATAATGAGCATTAATATTTCAAATCAAATTTATCGAATTGCATAAACTTTCTTTGAATATAAATTTAAATGAATTTTTTGAACTAACCAAAAGCTTCTTGACTTTGCGCTAGGCACGACCTATTAAGAATAAAGTTGACATTAGTCTGATGAGGCCTTAAATTTCCATTATCGACTGGTCCTTCTGCTGTTTGAGCCCAGCATGGCGGATTGGTCGCAATGTCGTAATCAACAATGTTGCATTGTTCCATGCTTAGACAGTATTCAGGACAACTTTGTTCATCATTGTAGGAAGATTGAGTGAGGCCAGGATAATGTACTGAGCCCGTTCTTGTCCAACAGGCATCATCGCTATTATTTGCCGAAACTGTGATTAATGAGTTAAATAGGATTTTTTCAAAGAGGTTTATTCATGATAATAATAAAAAAATCATGAAAAGGATATTTAAAAAAGAAATGCTTTTAACTAAATTAATAATTTGACAATCAAATGTCAGATGAAATGGTGCCTCTAGAAATAGTACTTGTAGTATTTATGAAAATAAGTTCTATCAAGGTGTTAGACGACGACGTGGATCTCGTTACAATATTGATTATTGGATAGATGGCGAACATTTAAAGCAAGTTTAAAAATCGTACACCGGTTGTGGAGTAAGTAGACACACATCAATGTTAAAGTTGCCAATTAAAAAAAGTTTGTGTTCATTAGCAACATAATTTAGTATTGTTTTAAACTTATCAATGAATATACTTAAGTCGCACGAGGGTGGTCTGTAAACATTCGTAACAATGATATTTTTTCATCCGTAGTATTAATGACCTCGATAGTAATTGATTCATAAATTGTGTCGTCTTTAAAAGAAATATCATTTCTAGTTATATACTCAATTTTGTCTCTAAAGCCGTGCCCCTCCAATACCATTTATTCAATTCTTGTTAACGAGTCGCAAGCGAATGTTGCTACTTGCCTTATTAACTTTCATATTTTTTTTAAATCAGCTAGCTCTATATGTATTTGAGCCAAATCAATGCGATATAATTTTTAACATTCACATAGCTAGAAGGTGCACTTGCTAAATCGGTTGGTTTGTTCCTTCATTGAATATTGTTTTTATTTAGTAAATAATTTGTTGATGAAATGAATTGATATTAAAAAGTAAAATTATATAATTGTTGAAAACAAAAATGTAACGTGCTTTCACTGTAAACGGTTAACACTACTTTTATACCAAATGCTAATTTTTTTAATTATATATATATATATATATATATATTTATTTATTTACTTATACAGCATTTTATTAAAATAAAAAAAAATGTTTTATTATCGTTGTGTTATTGCACGTGTAGATAGAGTTGGGTTATATATAATTTTCTCATCGTAATCTCGGTTGTAAGAATAAATACATTTTTATGAGTGCAAGTGTAGTGATGCATTTTATGATAGTAATAAAACGTGGTATCAAATGGCCATCATCATCATTGTCCTATTGTTGTCGTTATCATTTACATTGCGGAACACACTGAAGTTGAATGGTCCGACGGTCGCAGACTGTTAGGCATGAGACTGGGGATGGTTATACGTGAAAGTAATGAAAGTATGCAACACAAGAAAATATGGAATGATTTTTTTCATAAATGATAATAAATAAAAATTATTTTTAATAATTTTTAATCTAAATGAATTCAACGGTGTTTTGTCTATTTTGAATTGTTTTTTTATACGTTTTGTTCTAATGTTTTGGTTTAAAACATATAAAGTTTCACATCATTTTTTTTGTTTTAAAACTTTATCAAAATTTTGTTAAAATAACAATCTTCATAAGGACATAATGAGGTCAAAATTATCATACAACTTAACTTCTACTTACATTATGCTCCTTTCATCAAATTCTTTTGCCAATTTTTTCTATTTACACAATTATTATAAACATAAATAAATATATAAAACTATATTTCTATTTAATCTTTTTATTAGTTGTTTGGAAGAAAAAATTATTGTTTATTGATATCAAAGTAATAAAAAACAAAGAATAAAATTGTTTTCAGCGTTATTTTGAGAGCAACTAACAATAAAAATTATATTTCTTTTACCGTTAAGAGCCGCCAAGAGGCAAGCGATCAATGAGACAACATTTGCTACATGAGACTACATTCTGCAACGTGAGACAACACTCTGCAGCAGATATGCCTCAATCGATGACCTATGGTAATCTGGTTCGTTTTTGCCTGTTGCAATGTCGAATGAAGGTTGTCTTCTTGTTATGATAATGATGTTCACACAGCATATTGATTTAAAAAATAAATAACATTGCTGATCATAAGACATATAGTTTTGCAGATAGTAATTGAGACTGAAATAGCTTTACTTGAAAATGTTATTTTTGCTTAACATTGCCAAAGGCCTGATGAACTTGTTCATCTAGCCAAGCAAGCTATCATAAAAACGTTAATCCTTGGCGGTCTATCACGAACAGTTGATTAGAAACTGCGGAATTTGAACAAAATACTCCAAATTTGGGACCTAATTTTTTTCTAAAAAATAACGAAAAAAATCATTATTTTGGCAATTAATTTTTAAAAATTAAATAAATTTCTTTCTTTCTTACATTAAATTCATTAAAGTATTTTTTGTTTTTATTGTATTTACATACCAAACTGTTTCTATAGAACAAAATTAATTACTCTATAGCGAACAGAATTTATAAAAGTTAAAGAAAATATCCGACCAGCTAATATCCTTTTGATTGATATGAGCGGTGTTTTTGTACTTCGTTAATTCTCTAGAACCATATTTAATGCTTCATGTTCTAGTATTCTGGCTATTTTTGCGTATTCTATCTCAATTAGTTTCAATGGAATCGAAATCATCGTTGCATAGAATAAATAATAAATTTCACTTTAAAAATTTTATTTTTTACAATTGTACTATGTTTAAGAGTTGTTTTTTCATTAATATATAGCACCAAATAGCATATAAACACATTTTTTGCAATATAGAATTTTTTCCAGATCAAATTCTATATTACAAAATTTCTGTATAACAAATTTATTTTCTGGGTCCACCAAGTTTGTTGTACGGAGGTCCGACTTCCGACTATATTGTTTATATACATCACTGAAACACATAAATTCGTAGACAAGGTAGCTCTCAAAACACGACGAAGGCAAATGATGAATTAAATTTATTAACATTAAAATTTGGCCAATTACAAGCAGTTCATTATTAGCAACCAAACGCTAATTAATTTGTTTATTATTGTTTAACTATTTTATTGAAGTTTGTAAAACTTATTCACATGTCTTGTCCAGAACAAAATTGGTCACCGAATCTTTAGGCTTCAAGTTGTTGAGATCAACCGCACTTCCATCGGTTTGAATCCAGCACGGTGGATTGTCCGATGGATTGAAGTCAGCAACCTGTTTAATAAACAATGACTAATTTGAAAAAGGTCTTGAGCATGAAATGGGCAGATAAATAGTTCAGTGGTTAAGGCTCTTGGTCCTTTAGTTGCAGTGAGCGGGTTCGACTGCAACGAAACCACTGGCTGTCTCGTGCAATGTCTGTCTGATACGAAGATTCCTGCATATCCACGTGCATAGTGTTGTTGGTAGCTTTGTAAATCAAATTTTCAAGATATATTTTGTTGTGTAGTTATTTTGATTGTTCACAAAAAATTAGTAGACACAATAAAGATAGATAGTGGATTATTCCATGAATATTGTTAAACAATTAACTACTGCCATGAAATTATTTATCAAATTATTAAGTGCTATAAATTGTTTAAGTCAAAAACAGAAAACTTAAATTGATTTAGAGTTGAATAATGTTCAAAAATAATCTTACGTTGCAAGTGGCTGAATCGGCACAAGTGTTCAAGCAGGAGTCTTGGGTGGTGCCGCGCGTCTGTTGCAAGCCAAGGTATTCTGAATTCGCCGTTTCTGTCCAACACAGCTCTAAATAATAGTAATAATAATAATAATATTATTATTATTTTAAACATTTATACAGTGCCATACGCACCGCTGTTTCAGAAATGTTAAAAAAAAATTTGCATTTGTAAACGAAATTGAAATTTTTGTCTTGGTTTAAATGTCATCAGGGGTGCGTTGGTTTCGGAATGTTTATTCGCTAGACAATTACATGCACTTTGATCTGGCTTTTACAGTTTTCGCTCAAAATTAATTTTTACTTTTTTCGTATTAAAATTTAACTTGGCATTTACGAGTGAATGGATACTTAACAAAAAGTTTATGATTGAGTGGACACAAAATTTTGTACCCAGAAAAAAAGTTGGCTTAAAATAACAAATATTTTTTCACATTTTAACAAACTCACAAAACAAAAAAGAGGTAACTGTTTGAATAAAAACATCTTTAAATAAACAAATGCTTTTAGAAATATAGAGAGAAATTACACTACATTTGTTTAGATTTATCATCCCATCGAATAACCTGAATTGAAGAATTCTGAATAGTTGAAGTAACTGAGACATTCTCTGTCTAACAAAAAGTTGGATGCAGTGTCATGGTTTTCAAACTTTGAAGCATTGAACGGACTTTGGTCCTCCCAAACGAAGCATGGTGGAGTTACTTTGGGGTCATAATCAACCATAAAGCAACTTTCATAACTGGCACAGTAGTTCAAACATGAAGGGAGGTTGTTGTAGGGAACGTTTTTAAGACCTTCGTAGTGGTATTTCTCTCTCCAAGCCCAGCAGAGTTCTGCCATAAATACGAAGATATATTTATTTGGGCAAATTTAGGAAAAATTGTAACAAAAAATTTTTTTAATCTCATAAATATTTTCCAATATGTACAACTTAATGCAACACCTTGAAACCATTCAACATGAAAATTAACTGACCGACACTGTATGGCACTAAATTTGGTTCCAAGCATCTCTTATCTAAAATATAGTTTGTTCTACTTTGGTGAATGGTGATGATATTTTCATTAATTGGGCCCGGTATAGATTGAACCAAGCATGGCGGATCGGTTTTGTAGTCGTAGTCGACAACATAACAATCCTCCAAACTTATGCAATATCTCAAGCAGCTGTCCAGGTTATAGAAAGGAGCCGGAACGAGGAATGGATACGAGGACTTCAATCTTTTCATCCAGCAAGGGAAATCCGGGAAATTTGGCGATACTGTCTCCTCTTGAATAATTTATTTTTAAAAATAGTTATATTTTTATTGTTATATATTTAAAATTGTTATATATTTAAAAAACAAAAAGGAGCGTCATCAATTGCATTCAAGTGGCAGATGCTGCTAAATGCGATTTCAAAACTAAATTAAACTTGAATGAAAATAATGAAAAAATTGCTAAGTGTACACACACACACCACACACACACACCACACACTCACACATATACACACACCTAAATTATCAGGAGGTGGTGCGGGTGTTGGAACATTAGGTGACTGGGGCAAGGACGTCAGACACATTCTGTCTAGTATGTAATTATCATTTGACGGATGCTCTCTGAGAGTTTCAGTGAGGACGGGACCTGGCACCGTTTGGACGAAACACGATGGTTTCACGGCCACGTCAAAATCGACGATGTGACACTGCTCCATCTGCAGGCAGTATCCGATGCAAAGGTTTCTGTCAGTGAAAGGCGCCTGAGTGAGGCCAGGGTAATGTATTAAATGACTTTTTGACCAGCATGTCGAGGCGGGAATGTCAGCTTCAACTGTTGATTTAATTGATGTCGCGTTAACTTTATAATCACGTGAATAAAATATTCAAAAATCAATATTATCATATAAACATTTTTTATAACTTTTCAATATTTTTTAAAATAATCGAATCAATCAGTGAATAATTAAAATTCAATATTTAAATATTTTCAAAAAACTGAAAAACTTTATTTAAAAGAATTTAGATCGAATGCAAATCGTTTAATTATTTCAGTTAAAAAAAGCATTTTCTTAAAAAAATTATTGTTTATTTAGTTATGTTTAGGCATATTTATGCGTCTGTCTTACTATAACCAAATTTCTTTTTGATCTTATCGATGGTAAATACTTATATTATTGTATAAAAACATGTAGCGTGCAAAATTAATTGCTCATATATGAGTCAGAAATAAAATTCAATTAAGAAAACGTTTGATATATCGATCAATGAAGTTTACGAAACTAACCAGGCGCTGCTGCTACTGGAGGTGCTGGTATGCACAGTCTGTTCAGGATATAGTTGTCATTGGTGGAATGTGGATACAAAGTATCGAATGAAGCTGGGAATGTTTGCACCCAACATGGTGGATTGGTAGCAACGTCGAAATCAACCAGTGAACATACTTCCAAATTGAGGCAGTGCTCAAGACAACTGTTCACATCACTGAATGGTGACTGAGTGAGGCCAAGGTAATGCATGAGATGTGTTTTCGTCCAACAAAGATGATTGACGCTGCTAAGAGCCACTGCAATATTTTGTTGAATTATGTAGTTTTAAATTAACATTCAAAGACAAAAAAAATTAAAAATGATAATTCCATTGCAAAGCAAAAAATTCGTAAACTTCCAACTAACCGTGAGGTGGAGGAGGCAGGGTTGGAACTGTCCATGCATCTGGCAGACATCTCCTGTTCAGAATGTAGTTGTCATTTGTTTGGTGGGGCCTCAAAGTTTCCGTCAAAACGGGACCAACAAACGTTTGAACCCAACAAGGTGGGTTGGTAGCAACGTCGTAATCAACAATGTGGCAGTGTTCCAAGCTGAGGCAGTGTTTAAGACAACTGATACGGTCGGCGTAAGGCATGTTGGTCAGGCCAGGATAATGTATCAAGTGTCTTTTCGACCAACAAGCTGATTCTGGAAGATCTGCTTCAGCTGTATTGAATTAATAAATAATTTGATTTTTTAAAATTTCATAAAAGTATGTTTTTTAATTTGAGCTAGTGAATATATACATATATTGTAATGCATACAATTAATTATTTCATACTAATTGACTTCACTACAAAATGCAATGCAACAAATCCTGTCTCTATGGCGTTTTCTGCTGTCCATAACAAAATCAGCAACCTTAACAACTCCAGCAACATTAACAACAATGACAACACAAAACTTAACAACACAACAACTTAACAACTTAACAAACAACAACCGCATCACAAGATATAAACGACATCTTTTCATACAGCACTTTATCCTGTACAACAGCACTCTTTTAGGCGGCTTAATATGTTTATATGAACTATTTAATAAAATTTGAATATGCGTAAAGTTTATTTTACTCTAACCAATTACTTTTACTTGAATTATCTAGATAAGGTGAATGTTTATAAGTAAAACATCAGCAAAATTATCAACGATAAGAAAGAATATGAAGGAGGGGTATTGAGTGAAATGTTAATGACATAAAATATCGTAAGTTAAAATCGTTCAAGGTAATATTTGAAAACCAGAAAAGGTCATAGAAAACAAAATAAACATGTTCGGACATTTTTTAAAAATGAAATGTTCTATAGGTATAATGAAAATTAATGAATAAAGAAATGAAAAAAAAAGTTGAAATCATTTCCAAGAAATGGATTTATAATTTTACAAAATGGGCTAAAGGGAAACGTCGAATTTAATAAAATGGCGGAAAATAAGAAAATTTTTTAATAGCAACGTCAGAATTGGATTTCATCAGCTTCATTATCTAAGAAGCACAATGATCCGTAATTAAAAGTTTTCAAAACTTGTTCTCGTCATAAACGATATATCTGATGTTTAACATGATACATTTATTTTTTTGATTTGATTATATTAGATTATATTAGAAATTTGATTAATTAAATGAAAATTACAATAATTTTTTATTTTGAACTTTGATAAAAAGGACATTGACATAATTACCTGGTTCGATTGTTGGAGGCGACTCCAGACAAATCCTATTGAGAATGTAGTTATGATTGGTTGAGTGAGGTCTCAAAGTTTCAGTTTGAACGGGGCCAGCATTTGTTTGGACCCAGCACGGAGGGGTAGTTGCAACGTCGAAATCAACAATGTTGCACTGCTCCAGACTGAGGCAGTAGTTGAGACAACTGCTTGAGTCGGTGAACTGAGAATTGGTGAGGCCAGGGTAATGTATAAAACGTGTCTTCGTCCAACATATTGGATTATCAGCTGAAAATTCATTTGTTCTAAATTTTTTCATTATATTTAACTTTTTTATTATTAACTTTTATTAGTAATTATTTAATATATTAAAATTTAAAAATAACAAATATCTTTACATCGATATTGTTAATACTAATAATCATAACACAATTTGCCCTCAAAATAGAACACACTTCTTTGAACGCTTAAAATGCAAACAGAAACATTCAATGCTAACTTTAGACTAAATTATTTTAACTATTAAGTTAATGTTAGGGTACATTTGCTTACAAACCCAATTTTCAACTAGCTAATTATTTAGACGAACTTTCAAACACACCGTGTAACAATTATCATGCTTGTTGGTTTGCAAGTGCGCTAAAGCCCGGCATATTGCATAGAGAATTAACATTAAACTATTTGTCTCTCAAGTAAATTATGCTACCGAGTATCAGATAAATCTTCATTCGTTTTTAAAGTGATCCGGTTCAAATTCAGAAAGTTCTGTCATTTCGTCATAACGTCATCCCGAATGATAATAAAGGAGTGTAGTGACTGTTCCAGTATTTTGATGACATCGTTTAAAAATACGCCATCACGCCGCCTAAAAAACAAGGCACACCTGAATAATTTAAAAAAGTACCTGGCTGAGGAGGGAGAGGAGGTGGTGGTGGTGGAAGTGAGACGAGGCAAATTCTGTCGAGTATGTAGTTGTCGTTAGTCGGGTGATATCTCAAAGTTTCAGTGTAGACAGGACCCGCTGATAACTGCGCCCAGCATGGTGGATTGGTGGCGATATCGAAATCAACTATGTGACATTGCGGGGTGTTGTAACAATAATCGAGACAACTCTGCCGGTCGGAGTGGGGTGAATTGGTCAGGCCAGGGTAATGAATCAGATGTCTCTTCGACCAGCAGGCTGAGTGGGGAATATACTCCTCAACTGCAACAAATAAATTTGTCCATTTATTAAATATAAATTTCAGCACTTTAGTGTAAAATAACTATAGAAATATTAAAACATTGAAATAAATTGTATATTTTATAATTTAAAAATGTGATAACATTTTCAAATTTTATTCACCAAAAAAATCAAAAAATTAAACATCAAAATTCAATTAATTATTCGACCAATCAAATTCAGGCAATAAATATGTTTCAGCACTGCATGTTAAATTTTGAAAATGAACTTGAACAAAAATAAGCGCATTGCCAATAAATGTAGAAGTGATTGTTTTGTAATTAATTTTTAAAAATACCACTACCAATGAACTAACTTTTCAAATTTTTTTTTCAAATATTTTTGTTAATGAATGAAAAATTTATTTCAAATCAACCTTCTTCCATCGCTGGAGGTGAGGCCAGACAGTTTCTATTTAGTATGTAGTTATCATTTGTACCGTGCCAAACTAAGAGGTTATAGTCAGGAGCAGCGGAGAATGTTTGTATCCAGCAGGGTGGATTGGTCCCGATGTCATAATCAACCATGGTGCATTGACTTGTATCTGAACATTCCTTCAGACAACTTTCTACATCATTATGTGGCTTATTTTCAAGGCCAAGATAGTGAATGTTGCTCGTTTTCGTCCAGCAGATAGAGTTAGGAACGCTTGCTTTCACAGTGACAAATAGTGTTCAGTTAGGGTTATTTGTAAAAGAGGTACACATTTGTTTTAATTATTTAAAAAATTACAAAATTAAGCTGATGTGTTTTTGTTTTCAATACTTTGATTCATTAATCGCGTACATCATTAATATTTAAGGTTTAGCATGAACTGAGAATTTCAAATGCGGAAAAACTTTGTTTAACTATATTTTGATGAGGTAGATATTTGAATAAAATTAGGCGATGTTTGGAACGTAAATAACATTATGTGCTTTTAGAGATACATACCTATATGACATACTCAGGTATGAGCATTGAACAACTTTGTTTGCAAGATCGTGCAAGTACGTCTGATAAACCATCAATCTCTTCAATTTCACCTAACTTATATTATAACGTAGGAGGCACAACACTTCAAAACATTTTGATGACCAGAATTATAATGGGCTCCTTCAAATACTTTTACTACTAATGAGCAAACCTAAATTTCTTCCAACTATTTTTGTGAAAGTAACTGTCAATTCAGTTTCAAGAAAATTCAAAATGGAAAAAATAATGTAGGTACTTAGCTTACATATCAGCTAGCAAGGTTTTTAAAAACAATTGCTAAATTTTATCACTGTTGTAGTCCGATTATATAAATGTGTTAACATTTGAATTTTCAAATTCAGCACAAATGCATCTTTCTCTCTCTCTCTCTCTCTCTCTCTCTCTCTCTCTCTATACCATTTATATTTATATATTTATATATACATTTATTGATATACATTTGTTAATTTATTTATTTACATTCATATATATATATATTTCATAGTGCTTTGAAATTTTTGTCCAATCATAATAGTCATCGATATCGCAATTAAATTAACTAAAATGTCGGCATACGAAACGGGACAAATACGCGTCCGGGGGACACCAAAGCAAGAAACGGGGCATGGGGGCACAATTTGAGACTGGGTTTAGGATGGTTGGCAACTATGTTTACTCTCCCCATTTCCATAACAAACGACTTGTGTAAAAAATGATTTTTCAAACTCGACAATTGATAAAATGCAATGTCCAGAGAAGATTTACCAAATTATTCCCTCTATACGTCATCTTCCCTATTGTCCAAATTACATGCAATTGGATTGTAAACACTGGAATTTTCGATTTGTGCCTTTCGTACAAAATACTACACAACCTCATGTTAACTGACCTAGGTGGTCATTTCATTCATTACTTTATTTTTCAACTCGTGGACATCAAAGTCGCTTGCAAAAAATTTCAACACCAATGACAACACAACTAAATGATTATTCTGTTAGCAGGATCGTTCATGTATGGAACGCCTTGCCAACAGAAGTGGTCTCATCAACCTCACTTACTATTTACAAAAACCACCCTACTGAACTGTATCGATTTAAACAAATTTCTGATTATTAAATGACCCTCAATATATTGGGATATTCCCATATCGTTAAACACTATTTATTATTTTCGTCCGATTTGTTTTTATAAATCGTTCTGAAATTTATGTGCGTCTTTGTTATTAACAGGTTTTATGGAGCTATCATTGTCATTTATCCATTTATTCTTTTATTATATTGCATTGATATTTAGCATTCACCATTGAATTAACTAATTATAGTATCAAATGATTATTTTTTTTTAATAATTTTTGAGGTAGGTTCCTAAAGAAATTGTTCTTTTACTGGCTGTTAAAGGGTTAAATTTATCAATAAATACAAAATGATAAAATGAATGAGTAAAAAATGATTGAACAAATAAATAAATTAAAAGAGAAGAAAGTTTATCGTACAGGATAGTGTTCAATTAGTGTAACAATTGGTCGTACCAGCGTTTCAAAGTTTTGTTGCTCCATTTCAGAACATATTTAGCCTAAACTTTATTGCTTGTTACGGTTTCCTGTAAGAGTCTCAATCAATTAATCAATTAGTTTATAAAGTGCTATTTCATCAGTGCTCCTCTATGAATATTGCAAACAGATGGGTCTTGAGATCCGCTCTGAACTTCGTAAATGATAGAGAAATAGCCAGAGAAGGAGGTAGAAATTTCCAGAAAAAAAGACCAGAAAAGGCAAAAGCAGATTTAGCAAAAAAGTGTTTAACACGAGTTAAGAAGAAGTGAGAACAAAAAAACGATTGTAAACCGGGGCGTTCAATTTGTATTTGATAAGTCTAATTAAAAATTGTTAGTTAAATATAGCTTTGTTGACTGAACTATTAGCATTGATATTAAAAACACACCGATGCATTCTTTTGAGGTCATCCAGCTTTCCGTTTTTCAAGTTTCAATTTCAAATTTAAAAGATTTGCTACAACAGTGGCGGATCTAGACAACTTGAGCCGTACGCCTGAATTTTGAAAGTTTTTCAAAGGTTGAACGGGGGGGGGGAATTTTGGAAATGTTTCAATGTGTTTTAAAGATGACCGGGAGGTCAACATTTTAAGGGAGGCCAAGTTACATTTATGGCTAACGACATTTTTTATCTTATCACCTCATTTTTCCGTCAAAAAGGTATCTTTTTGGTGAAAACAATGCGTTTCACTGACTTTTAATGAAAAATTGCTCACAACGGCCCACGAACCTCCAGATCCGCCACTGCGTAGAAATATATTGAAACTGAGGAAATATCGTTGATTCAACGTTGGACCCCGTAGAATGCGCCACAGAAATCTTTTCATTAGGAGCTTCAAACAATTAATGTACAAATTCATCATCTTATGATAAGCGTTCAAGCAGATGAACCTTTTAATTACGTTGTACATAATTTCTAGATAAAAATTTATGATAATGATTCCATTTCGTTGTTAGAAGAAGCTGCTATATTTAAAATAACATAAGAAAACAAATGTTGAAACATTTTGTGCACTTTGTCAACAAGTGAATTGTAATAAACATTGAACAATTTCAAGGAATCTTTGATGGCTTGATCAAAAAAACCTATAAAAAATTTTTATTTGTGCCTAAGAACTGGTTTCAATATAGTAATATTTAAAAACATCTTGACTGCACTTATAAGCAAACATGGATGGAATAAATGACTAATAGCGAATACAAATTTATGAAATAAAGGTAAAAATTATAGCAAACTAAAAACATGGAAATATTTGAAAAAATTTACCAGTGATTGCTTTCATTTCAAAAATAAGCGCGACAAATACCAGTGGCCAGAACATCTTGTCCATGTTGCTATCGTGATGGCCTGTAAAATTATTATCTCTATATAACTCAATGGGTCAATTTTCAAACAATAAGTTCTTCATTATTTCGTTTAAAATACATTCTTTCATCCCATTTTAATTTTTAGATGATTCAATCAATCAACAAACCAGTTATGTAAACAGCCAGCCAACCAAACAACAACGCATCAAACCAATCAACCAAATAACTAACCAACAATGCAGCCAATCAACCAACTCACCAAACTATGTAGTTTGATATCACGACACGAAAATAACTTCTTTTATTTTTCAAATCTAAACAACTATCGCCTTTATACCAGTTGTTCTTAACAAAAATAATAATTAATTAATTCATTATTATTACAATTTTATTATTATTATTCTTGTTGTTGTTATTTTTGTTGCGTGATTTTAAGAATTGTTAATTTTATAAAACTCCCTCGCTTCACATGAAAGAATATTTTTTTCTTTCCTCTACCGTTACACTAACTTTTAACTGATGATAACAGTAATGATGACGATGATGATGACGGGGATGATGATGTTGGTGATGATAATGGTGGCAAGGATGTGGACGACGATGATAATTATGACCCCAAAACAGTTAAAAAACATCCCCGCTTGATCTGTCAATCATCAAATATTTATTTGTCAACAAAATGGATTGCATTTTCAAATTTTATTAAATATGTTTTATATATCGGAATTAGTGTTGTTACTTAATTATTCAAATGATATTTATGAACTTATTTTTTTAATTTTGGTCAAAAATGATATCAATTACTTGCTGATTTCATTATTTTCCATTTAAAATCTTTTCATTAGAAATTGATAACACACCGCCTAGTATTCCTAGCTAACTTACCAAAATTTCTGTCATAGACAATAATAATTATTTTTTATGATGTGTTTGAAAAGAACTTTTTATTGATTAAAATACTAACATTAATTCCTACCCCGTTACATTGCTTGTGAATGTAAAGCAACACTTATTAATGCCATCATCGTATATAGTTTGCATTATGTTTAACCTAGTTAATGCTGTTAATAAATCGATACATCAATATTATTGTCATCTCGATCGTAAGGATAATTTTTTCTTCTGTTGCTATTTTAATGTTATCGAGTTTGTAGAGTAAAAACAACAGCAACATCGATAATTTTATTGTAAAAAGATATTTTTAAATAACGAATGATCGTGCGGCTGGCTTGTGAACAACATCGTGCAATCGTATCCTTCTTATTGATTTTACAAGTTTTCCCAATAACATCACACAGTTATTTTTTTTGCTAGCAGCCTTTAATATATTTTTTTAAAATTGCATCTATCAAAACAACACTGACAATCCTGTTTGTCATGTGAATAGTGCTCGTTGTAATAGTGATCATAATAGTAACGCTATTTTTTTTATAAAAGTTGAAGGATTTCATATTATATATATATTATTATTATTAGGTAGATTTATATAGCACCCTTTCATCAAATCTCAAAGGCGCTGAAACAAATCACAAGGAAACAACAACCAAAGCGCTCATTGCGCAAACAGAAAAGTTTTTAATTCACTCCTGAAGGATAAAATTGAATGCCCCGAAGCACGCAGTTCCAAAGGCAGGCTATTCCATACAGATGGCCCAACAACTGAAAAATTTTTGAACCTGTAACAAGATTTGTTGGGGCCTCAAAAAGTAAGTCACGATCATTAAAATGTAACTTGTAGGAATCCCCTGTAACAAGACGTGCAGTGCACCTATCAATTAGATAGCCAGGTGCAATACCATTCAAGCATTTGAACATAAGCATTGCAATTTTTAAAGTAATACGTTTTTAACAGGCAGCCAGTGTAAGTCTCTCAAAATGTGGCTGACATGATCAGATCTAGAACATTCAGAAACAAGTTTAGCAGCTCTATTCTGAATGGACTGCAACATCTGAATAACTCTTTGTGACAGTCCATAGAATAGGCCATTACAATAATTTACTTTAGAATTTATAAAAGCATGGACCAAACAACTCAGTGTATGAACATCAAGTGAATGTTTTACTGATTTCAACAACCTTAGTTGATTTGAACAGTCTTTAGCAAGACGCTTAATATGTGGCTCCATAGACATATTTGTGTCAAATATCATATCCAGAATACTAGCACTCATACAAAAATCAATACGCATCCCTTCAAAAAATAAACCCTTAATATCAATTCTAGACAACTGCTGTCATGTGCCAATGGGCAAAATTTGTGTTTTACTATTATAGTAATATTAATAGTAGTAGTAGTAGTAGTAGTAAAAACATTGTTTGTAAAAAAAAGGCGGTAAGAGCCGACGAATGCATGAAAGTAGTAAAAATTACATACAGCAATTTCTTTTATTACTTTAACAACGCAGCAACAGTAGTATTTTTCTGTTATAAATATATTGTATTTTATATAAACTCTCGAGAATGAAAAATTGTAAATCAATTATAATATGAAATGTGAGAATTTTAAAAATAAATGAAAGTAATATATGTTATAAGTTTATAATATTTGATAATATTCAGTTGAATTTCATAAATTTATAGACAACAATCTTGTTAAAACTAATAATAAGAATTCATTTAAAGATTTCAAATTTGTTTAAAAAAATAGTTAAAATGATGAACTGGAAAAGATGAACGTGATTTCGGATTTACTGAGCGAAAGAACGCTGGAACATAAGGTTTTGGATTTTTTGTTGGATGTCTACAAATTTAATTAAAACCGAATGATTAATTTAAAAAACGGGTATCATTCAGTTAACTTCTGCAAACTTAAAAAAATGCGGCTTAGAAATGAACCAACTTGTTTGTTATTGTCAACTTTTCGTAAAATAATCCGATAGAAGCATGTCAATATTTTGTTGTTTGTTTATTACAACATACCCCCATACACCAACCCTCGAGTGTGGAAATATTGTTTTAATCACAAATTGAAAACAGTAAAAAAAATAAAACAAAATGCTAAATAAGAATTAATTAATAAGAACCATACTCTGATAAGGTTTAATTTTTATATTAAACTAAGTCGTCAAAACTTATTTACATATTATTCATCTTTAAGATTTCATTAATTACTTTTCGTACTTTACAAACAGCCGATTCCAATCAAAATTAACGTTTTGTTAAAATATATTTTGCAAGATAAACTTCTTCCTCTTTCAACTTCGATTATTTCCATAATACTGAATGACTGGGTTTATTATTATATTTTGCTGGTTGTTGTTCGATGCAAAAGAAGTCATGTTGAAATA